GTGAATGCATGGAGCAAGCTCAGCGTCATTCCTGGTACATGGTAGGTGCTCAGTGAATAATAGCCGTTGTGATTGGACCCCCCCCCGTCTCATCTATTAAATGGGCACAGTACCTGCTGTCCTATATTCTGAGGTTTTTTATGAATATCAAATAAGATAACCAGTTAGAGTGCTCTGAGGAATGAAGATTTGAACTGTTATCAAGATGTGTTCTATCATCTATTATTTCAATAAAATCATCTGCTAAGTATCCACCTTTCCTTACGTGCTATTCTCGATTCTAACTACCAAGTTCCTCGTTGAAACTCTACTATGGGACATCCCTTTGGGCTAGGGGCAAATTAGAAACATGTTCCTTGGTGTTTCACAAAGTTTAGCTTGTTCTTTGAAGAGACCATTACAATCTCTGTCTGGCACATAACCCCAGACTACTTTTCCTGAGGTGTTTTCATGGTAATGTAGTTGTATAGATTTAAGTGTGACTTCGTTGATGTGCTAATTATGCAAAGTCATTGTCCATTTCTCATTGACCTTCCTTTCATAGTCTCAGACTCTGAAATCTTTGATTGAAAAGTGCAACCATGGGCTAGAATGGACATTAATGTGCTCATTTTAATGGCAAATATTTAACAAAATAGAAAAAGTGACCATCCCCAAGTTGACAGCTGAAAGAACACCTTTCATAGTCAAGATAATGTCACACCCAGTTAGTGAGGCCAGACACTGATGGGTCACCAAAGCAATAATGAGTGTGCCCAAGAGCATCCAGTCACATAAACATATTTGTTTATTGGCTTAGAGAAAAGATCATGTTACAATCAGCATTGAACCACCCATATTGGAATGCCGAAAAGCACAAACAGACCAGAATGAAATGGTGAGAAGTACATGGCCTTCCAGTTCTGGAAAAGAGCTGATACATTTTCTTAATTAAAGAATTTCATCTTTCACTTGAGAGAAAAGCAAAGATTTTATCTTCTTTCAAATGACAAGACTTCTTAAGTGAGGAACAGGAGAGCTATGTTTCTTGGGCTTAATATGAATCCTTTGTCAAAACTTCAGGTTTTTCTTTTTTAAATATATGGTAAATAATGCAGGGGAACCTTGACTCTGTGATTAATATGAACTTTAGGCAAAAAGAAATAAGGGAACCTTGACTTGTATTTCTTTTCTAATGATGAGAAGTTTACCGAAGAAGGGAGATGTTCCTTTCCCTTCTGTTGCAGAGGTTCTGTAGGTAATTTGTGAAGAGCTGCTTTGAGTGGAGTTCAGTGAAGGGAAATATTAAAGGGCCTTTCTGTTTATCAATACTCTGGGGTCATTTTAACAATATATCTGGTTTTAAGTATCAGGATGAATTATATTCTGAACTTGGACCTACCATTTGTCTCATTTGAGCATGCTTTAAAATATCTGTGCAGGGGCACCTGGGTGGCGCAGTCAGGTGTCTGTCTCTTGGTTTCAGCTCAGGTCATGATCTCAGGGTCCTGGGATCAAGCCCTGGGTCAGGCTCCCTGCTCAGGGTGGAGTCTACTTGAGATTCTCTCTCTCACTCTCCCTCTGCCCCTCCCACTCATGCTCTCTCTCTCTCAAATAGATAAAATCTTTAAAAATAAAAAATTTTAAAAAATAAGATGTCCGTGAAAAGATTTTTTGCAATCTCAAGCTGTGTGGCACTAACGTACTCCTTAGCCCTGACTAAACATGAGGCTGCTATTTCAAATTGGGGTTTCATTCATTTAATGTAATTGCATAAACAGCTTAGTTTTAACTCGTGACTCTCGGGTAAGAGAGAATGATCAACATTTTGCAAGGCAAACTACCAGACAGATTGGCTCCTAGGGTGTTGACATCAATATTGGGAGTGTGGAAGTGCTGGTTTTTCTTTGTGAGACGTGCAGAGCACATCGCTCTTAGAGAGAGCGAGCTCAATTTTCTATAGCTATATTTGATTTTCACTTTGAGTGCTGGGGACCTAATGCTGTCCTTAGGCACTGAGTTTTTCACCTCTGATGGCATACGTAGGAGGACTGGGTGATTTTCCATGGGCAGCAGTCAGAGGCTAGGCAGGGCAGTTGCTCTGTCCTCCCCAAACAGAACCTACACCGGAGACAATTTTATAGCTATTGGTGCAGTTAGCTTATGGCTTCTGAAGAAAGACTACATTTAGTTCATGACCTCCTCTCATTGTGAGGATTTACTCATGTCTCCTTAAGTAAGTACCTTCTCAATTTTCCTTGAAATTTGAATTTTTTTTCTTTAGGCGACACTGTAATTTAATGGCAATATCTTATTCCCTATGGAGTCTGAAAAGGTAAAGCAGGTGGAATGATACTTCCTTTTATATGGAACTAACAGTGTTCTCTATTGGGAAGGATGAATGATTAAGGCATGCAGGCAAAGTAAACAATCAGTTAAGAACTTAGAAATCGTGTGTAGCTGCTTAAGATGTTATGGGCTTTGCAATTTATCAGGGCATCTTTTAGAAAGTGTTTTAGTTCTCCTGCCCCTCTTCGGAGAGCTAGGCATGTAAATGGGATGCACTTGGTTAGCCTGACACAGAAATCAGGCAGGTGAGCCATTTGTTTATTGTGTTTGATTCTGGAGTTCTCTCTCCGTATGCCTAGTATGTAACGTCAACTTGTTTTAGTGCCATTTATTTGTATTTTCCCTGAAGCTCATGTGTAAATTCAGAATTTGCATTTCAACAGAAAAATCACGAGAGACCTAAATAAAGCTGATTAAATGATAGAGATATGCTTTGCACACATAGAAAGACTGTCTGGTGTATATTTTGGTTAGAAATAGTTAGATGAGGGATGCCTGGGTTGCTCAGTTGGTTAAGCATTTGCCTTCGGCTCAGGTCATGATCTCAGGGTCCTGGGATCAAGCCCCCATTGGGGCTTCTTGCTCAGCGGGGAGCCTGCTTCTCCCTCTGCCTGCCACTCCCCCTGCTTGTGCTCTCTCTGACAAATAAATAAATAAAATCTTTTTTTTTAAAGAAATAGATGAGCTTCTGTATCAGCCTCTCCAAGTTTAATGGACATGATTGTTTATATATTGTAATATGGAAAAACAAATTTCTTAGATCTTAAACCACAGAATATGGATGTTTCATTCAGAAAACAATATTTATGTACATATAATGTCTATGTTTAGCCTAGTAAGTCCTGTTTTTGTATTTGTTTACCAAGAAGTGTCCCAACTGCAATTGCCATCAGGTTCAAATCAGAACTCAATTGCTAGCAAAACATGTTATCAGCATTGTTTCATGTTCCTTTTGTACATGTAAGCTCTCTTCCACACACAGACATGAGAGGATAACTAATTGACAGTATAGACAAGGGTTTGGTTTTCAAACCCAGTAGTATAAATGTAAATACAGCTTTAGGTAGACTGCGGTCAGATAGCCTATCTGAATACAGCCTCATCTTCAACAATCTTAAATATCCATTTCTTTTCCCTTTCCCCCTTTCTTCTTTTTTTTTTTTATAAATATTTATAGACTCCCTATGATGTGCCAGGCACTGCTATGGCCTCTGGGAACACAATAGGGAACAGTAAAGACACAGTCCTTATCCTTAGGAAACTTTCAATTTAGTGGGAAAGATGGATAGTATCAAAATACACAATTACACAAATCATTCAGTAATTAAGCTGTGGGAGCTGCCCTAGTCTGTAATAATAACATCCCTCTACCCTCGAGAGAGAGCCATTGGTCACCCCCACCTGTCTTCATAAAATGAGAAGACATGATTAAACGCTTCCTTCCAGGGAGGAGTTGGCCAGAGGTCTACATTGTGGTTTGTGCTCATGCTCTTCCGTGTAGGGTGGACACTTTCATGTGCCAAGCACACTATGTTAGTATTACGAGAGAGGGATGCCTAAGTGGGAGAGGCATCACCTTTGCCTGAAGGAGGAGGAGAGAGAGCATGCATACCCTCCCCCCAAAATCTATTTATCTATCTATCTATATAATATACATCATGATTAAAACTAGGAATTTCAGGAATTCTTAGGGGGAGGGCGAAAGGCCTTCTAGTTTGGTGGATCAGCTAATGTTTCCATTTTAACTGATCTATAAAGAAATAAATTGGACTTTGATAAGGAAATGTGGTGGAGAGGGCATTCCAGGTAAAAGGAATTGAGTAGACAAAAGCAAGAAGATGGGAAAATTGAGGGCATTTTGAAGGACTGACCCAAGAGAGAGAAACAGAAACAGACCAGCAAACCAAAAAATAGCTTTATGCAAACAGGACGGAATAAGGTTGGTAGGATAAATTGAGGCCAGATCACTGAGGTTTTTCTATTATCTGTTTAAGGATATACTGAACATTATCTGGTCGATCCCACAGTTTCAGAGGGTGACTGGTGAGAAAAGCCTGGAACTGGGCACCCCAGCACATCTGCTGCCCTGGTCTAAGTGAGAGACGGGAAAGGCCTTAACTGCTGGTGGTTCAGCTGATAAATCAGTGTTTGGGGTTTGAAGCAAATTTGCAACAGTGCGCTGGACTTTCCCAAAGATAATTTCTAGAACGGAGAAGCCATTAGGCCTTTCCTCTAAACTCACACTTTCTAACCCATTTATATGCCGGGTTTTTTCTATTGGGAACGACATGGTAGCCTCTGATATAAATGTAGATATTTAAAATGGGAAAACCGTAAGGATGGCAGTGTGGACAGATTTTGCTTGACATCACTACAAATCTTTCTGACCTGATTTTAGCTGATTTATGAATAAATGATTATTCCAGTCCTGAGAGTTAAATATTTAAAAAGTTAGCTCCGTTTTAAAGTTCATGTATAATACAGAACTGATTTTCTGGGCAGCGGACTTCCTCTCATTTCCTTCTTTTTAATACGCTGTAATTCTGATCTCTCCTTTTTCAGTTCCCTGCATGAAAATTATTTAAACGTTGCACGCAAATCTTTTGTGAAAGAAGAAAAGGAAATTCAGTTTGTGGGTCTCAGCAGGAGCTCAGCTAATGCAGCTTAAAATAATGCCGAGAAGGAAGCGCTTATCTGCAGGCAGAACGCCCCTGATTCTCTTCCTGTGCCAGATCATTAGCGCACTGGACGTACCTCTTGATCGTAAGTATTAATGTTTTAAAGCTGTTAAGCCCGGGAGTCAAAGCCTCCCCAGCATTTCCCATCACTGTGAGCTGTGTGAATGGAGAAGGTGTCTGTGTGATCCTGAAAAGCTAATCAAAATTAATTTGGCTTTTACCTACAGTACCTGGTGTTTATAAAGAGTCTCACCACAGAAATGGCCATTGAACCGGTCAGACCATTGTCCCCTCCCTATCATTATCTCTCTGCCTCGTCAGGTGCCTTTTGTGTACCATGGGGGCCGGGCAGCAGGGGAGAAGGAGCAAATTGTAGGCTGCCCTGGTCCTCCCAACGGGCGACTCTTGATAGAAGCGGTCCTGCCAGAAAACAATACGAATCACTTTGAAATGGTCATGGAGACTTCCCCACCTGTCCGCTCCCCGCTACTCCATCCTCCGCCCCCTCACGTGCTCAGAATGCTCTGGAAAGATTGGGGGATGGTTTCTCAGCCAACCCCACGCCCCTCCGTATCCCCAGACTACCCATAATTCATTTCTCTAGATTCCAACAGGGCAAAATCCACTTTACATATGAGTCTGGATCTAGGATGTGTATCTCTAAAGCCTAGAGAAAGATCTTTGGTCTACAAAAAAAAAAAAAAAGTGATCAAAGACCAAAATGTAAAATTTTGTGAAGAAAACAAGTCATGGGCAAAAACACTATTTAAAATGGAACCAGCAACAGCTACTATATCAGAGCCCACCCCCTTTCCTACCAGGAAAGTATACGCTGCACTCTGCCTGCTCTGGGTGGCCTGGTTGTATAAAAGAAAGATAATGCTGGGTTCCACCTGGTCCCTTCTCTTGCAGTGGAAAGCAGAATTTCAGATTTGGACAATGACTGTACTTCAGATGCATCCTTTATTCTTGATCTGCCTGACCTCTTTAAATCCATTAGCTTCCTGAATAGAACATCTGTTTGGCAAGCTTTCCAAGGTGCAAGGAAGATAGCACTTTCCTGGGGCTATTCAATTGTTGGGATGTCACTTTTTGCCAAAGAAGGTTGCAAGTCCCAGTGGGCAGACATTAAGAAGAGATATGGTTTGCCCCACACTTGGTTGACTTCCTTTGCTATGCATCTATCGTCTAAAGGACAATAAAATGCAACATTTTACTTCCTTTCAAAAAATATTCTTTGACCTAATTTCCATTAAAAAAAAAATGTATGATTGGTTAAGCCCATTGGAGTTGGAATGCCCAAGTATAAAGAAGAGAGACAAAAGCACTTGAGAGAAATGGGCTTTTGTTCTCTCTTGTGTTAAATATATTCTCCCTTAATCTGACTGCTCAATCTAACAATCAGGGGGAAACTGTCACCTACGGCTAACTCAATTATCGCTGCTAATGGAGAAGAGGCATAACCATGATGAAAAGAAAGTCACGGACAACCCAGGCACTCCTGCATTAACCTTTACAAGTAGTAATGACAGGCAGCACTGCAGAATCATTTGAATTGCATGCTAATGTAATTTCTTCCCCGCCCCTATTCCTTACACCCCAGTCCATCTGAGCTGCTCCTTGGCGCAGGTACTAGCAACCCCTCGGTGAGGAGGAATTCTGAAGCAGAAATATGCTAACAGCTGAAAACTTCAATTACTGACTTGCAGATTAACCATAGAAATGTAAAAACCCAACAGTAGTGTTGCATTTGGCTCGGATGGAGCATCGGCACTGTAGTGTTGTCCAATTGTTAGGTATTATTACCATGGGCCTAGTGATGTCTGGGATAATAGGATCAGACACGACACAGTATGTGACAACTCAGATTAATTGTAGATTTCAGCTATTTTTCAAATTGAACGTAATGACTTGTCCAGCACATGTACAGAATGGAATTAGCCATTCCTAGTCCTGGAAGAATCCTTTTTTGCCGAAAGCATTCCTTTTGTTCTTCCATATGTTTATGTGGGATGGCTGCTACAGGAGTAAACAAAGCCATTAATGGGAGTGTCTTTCTTTTACAACCTCACGACTTCCACGTTCACTGTACTGGTTTTTTAGGCCAAACCAAATAGACAAGATGCCCCTTTTATCTCCAGGGTGCTAACGTTCTTATTACTAACATCTGGTTTTCTTTAATCCTGTTTGCCCACTCACCTGCTGATATTGATGGGGAAAAAGCAAAACTTCTTGAAGACTGTAAGTGTCTTTCTGTAATTATTAGGCAGTGTGAAAACTTGACCATGTCTTTGTTTTTGAATTAATACTGTGAATTGAAGGCACAGCTTTAGGTTGTGACTAACGTCTTTTTGAGCATGTGCATTTCCTATGGCTAAACATTGCATTTAAATACCAAGAAGCAAGTTTAATATATGCCCTGCATGAATTCTGAAGACTCAGGTATTACTTTTTCTTTTACCAGTATGCTGCTCGACTAACTTCCAAGCTTTATTCGCATCTGATGTAACTCAATGAGAAAATTCACAAAATTTAAAGAAAATGGCTGTCTGGGTCTAAATGCCATTAAATGCTTGCTGGCATCAAGGCGTGTCTTTTGGTATCTTCCAGACTGTGCCTCACCAAACTTCTTCAGGACCATGTAGGCTAGCGTCCCAGCAGTATAACGGCCCAGTGAAATTGAATATTGTTTTGAAGCGAGCGAGGCAATCAAGCAGGCCCCACTTACCCCATTTCTGAGGGGCTTGCTCTAAGCAGAAACTTCTGCTGACTCTGGCAGTTGGGCCACTCCTAGTGTCTCCCTAAAACAGAGTTTTCGGGCATTTGAAAAAATCCTTTGAGATTGGATTAAGCAGGAAAATCATGTAAAATCACCCTTCCCCCCTATTCCTTCAAAGCGTTTGGTAGTTGCCAGGTGACCTAAGCACTGTTCAAAGAGCTGCCCGTGGACAGTAGACTCCTGACAGAGGAGGGGCATCTAACTAGCTCTGTGGCAGACGTGTGAACAGAAGTTTTGGGTTTGAAACCACCAGACTCACAGAAAAATATAAGGAATTGGACTGAGGCACTCCTCACAGTCCCTCACCCGCCACCTGGTATCCACCGTTGGGGTGTGAAATTCCAGGCTTCTTTCCATCATCCCAAATTCGGTACTCCCAGAGCCTAAAGGATCACTCAAAGATGAAGCTGATCCAAGTAAAAATGATAATGATAATAATTTGCACAGAGCTCACGCTGAACCATTACGGTAGTGGCACGTACTAAGAATTTTCCACAGATTCTTTTATTTACTGCTCCCAGTGGCCCTAGAAGGTAGATAACGACTTTTAAACCCCATTTTCCCTCCAAGGAAAGTGGGGCTTACAGAAGGTAAGAAACTTGCTGGAAGTCTCACAGCTGGTAAGAAAGAATCAGACGGGTTCTCGACTCCCAGCCCAAGGTGCTATCCAGCATGGGGAACTGACAGGTCTTCAAGACCGAGGGTTCTTTGTAGGGTGGCGGAGGCTAGGAAGGGCAGCTGGCCGAGCAGGAGCATGAGACAGGGGTGGCTCTCACTAAAGGGAGGGGGTAAATGGTACTGTTGAGTATCCAGCAGTTACTAGGTGCATAATAAATGATGACAGGGACGAGCTCTGTTTTTGATCTGGGCTCTAGGTCTTATTTGTATGGTCAGAGCCAGCATTTAGTGCCCATTGTAGTGGACAGCAAGACCAAACAAGTGAAGAGAACCATGTTGGCTGCTTTATAGGCCATCAGACATGGAAATGATACATTTAGCCCTGGCAAGGATTAACCACAGTAAAGAAAGATAAGAGCAGAGGGCAATTAGTAAACTTTGGGAAATGCTTGGTTGGCAGGTGAAGGAGGTTTCACGAAGCACAGAGCATGGGCGGAAAGGGAAAAGCTTAAATGATCTAGATAAGTCTTTGTTGGGGGAGGGGGAGGGCTGTCTTGTAAGATGTTTAGCAGCATCTCTGGTTTCTACCCGACAGATGCCACTACCACCTCTCGCCCCAAGGGTGACAACCAACATTGCTTCCAGAAATGGCCAAATGTCCCCCGAGGGGACCCTAGGTTGAGAACCCTGGTCTGTATGAACGGCTCTCCCTGGAGTTGTACAAGGCAGTGGCTTCTACTGGGAGAGTTTGGTTCTCTTCTCCATAGGATTTGAAAATAAATGATCGGATAGCACTTTGAAGAGCAAAATGGAAATGTCTCCTGTAACCGAGCACTTCCCAGTTCCACTGATCTTCTAAACGAGACTGTTTTATCTTTGTTGCTAATAGCCATCTACCTCCTGGCTCTAATAAGACGTGCCAAGTCTCTAAATTACCCATCTTTTCAACGCTAACTTCCCAAATTGATTTGTTCCCAACATATATTAATTTACATTAGCACACTAATAAACTATAAGTCAGTTACTCTTTCCTAAGAAATGCCCATTTACCTCATAACTTAAATTTTATTGAAAAGCATCATTGGAACCAAAAAAATTCTCAAGAATTTCTCATTGTTACATCAGAAGAGAAATGGTCTTAATATTAAACTTGTATTGGTAATTATTTTCCCAAACTTGTAGTGGGGGTGAAATGGGCTCTGTGAATCCCTATAAAGTTACCAAAAGGAAGTTGTGCTTTGACTTCAAAGTTTTAGGAGACTTTTAGTTAAAAACCTAGTAACGTATGTGCTGCCACCATTGAAATTGCTAAAAACATTTGGAGCATAGTCAGTCTAGGGTAAGTGATTTTGACATAGAAAGAATGATTTTTATTATGATCTTAAGTGATTTCTTTACATTGTTCTTCTTTCTACAATTAAGTGGTACAGCCTCCAACCATTACTCAACAGTCTCCAAAAGATTACATTATTGACCCTCGAGAGAATATCGTAATCCAGTGTGAGGCCAAAGGGAAACCTCCTCCAAGGTGGGTGTGCTTTCGGCTCTGTTGTAGAACTGAACATAAACATTGGTATTATGGTGATAGGTCCTGCCTATTGTCTTTCTGATGAATTGAAGTCAGATTGTTTTTCTTGGTCACCCAAATAATTGATTGCATTTCTGGACTCACATCCTTCTGCAAAATGCTCCAAAATTATAGGGAGATGTGAAGGAGAGCCTTCTAAGGGCTCTACTGCCCTTATGACATGGGCAAACCTGTTTTCTCTGGGCCTCAGTTTCTTCTTCTATAAAATAAAGAAGTTGAATTTGATGGCTTCAAAGATCCATCCTTGCTCTGTAGAGGTCTGTAAAATAGTTCTGAGTAGATTTTCAGACTTGGCAGGGCTCAGTACTCAGGATTCTCCATATAGATCCTGGCATGAGCACTGCACAGAAGTTTAGAGGTGGGGGAGACATGAAAGGTTATCTGGTCCAACCAATAGATGTTATAGATGGGAGACTGATGCCTGGTAATGCTCCTCCACGCGACTACTCAGCAGATGCTCCGTCACTTGCACAGTTATATATGGGAAGTTTGGAGAGTTGGATTATTATTATTAAAATGTAATGTGGATTTTTAAATAATAAAGAAGTGAAAGTTTCTAGATCTTTCATTTCCAAGTCTGTCTATTGCCAGCTTTACCCAACTACCACAAACTGGCACCTGAGAAAAAAATCAGCTGGTACTAAATACTGAAGTATATCAAAAACACCCTTTGAAGAGGTTTACTTCAAAACAGTATGTTCTGCCATATTGTTAGAAACCTCTAGCGCCCAAGCCCCAAGGTGATGTCATTTCATGGAGTCCCCCTTCAGGTTCACACTGATGTGACACTTCCTGCCACTCTCTATAAGGCAGGATTACTATTTTGGGCCAGATAGTTTTTTGTTGTGGGAACGGGGACTGTCATGCCCATTATCAGATATTTAGCAGCATCCCTGGCCTCTATCCTCTCCGTCGGTAGCTCCCACTTACACCACCTCCCGCCCCGAGATGTTGGGACAACCACTGCCATAGGGTAAGGAGTGGGAAGGGAAATCCCAGTGGGCGGGCAAAACACAGTGAGGTCTAGAGCTTCGTGCCTCTGTATAAGTGTGGCCTCTGTGGATTTATGACTAGTTATAAAGTATTTCATTACACAAGTGCCGCAACTTCTGTACCAGGCAGTCTTTTCTATAAATAAAACGGAAAAAGAAGAATTGCAGTTGACAATTTGAAATACTTCCTGAGGAATTTACAAAATCATCTCTTCTGGAATTGAGAATTCTCAAAATGTGTTTTATAGAGAATGACCACTTTTAATAGCCAACATTGAAAACACCACTGACCTCATTCTCACCCCCTTCCCCCAACTTACACTTTGCATTTTGCTAACTTGAAACTGGTCTGATCCCTTTGAAATGCACACATGTACTAGTACCTGGGAAGGCCTTTCTTGTCACATTTCAGCCCAGAGCAAAATTTTATAGACAGGTTATCAACTCTGTGAACAATGGAGTTTACAATAAAAATGCTAATAAAGCTCTAAGGGAACGTGCCTCGGAGACCTACTTTCTGTATTTTCTTTGAAAAATGACAGGCAATTTGTGTGCCTGATTTCCTTGAGACAGATTTCGGCTAGTTCTAAATGAAGACATATACCTTAAAATGTATGGCCAGCCCTTTTTACTTTTCTTTTTTTTTTTATTATGTTATGTTAATCACCATACATTACATCTTTAGTTTTTGATATAGTGTTCCATGATTCATTGTTTGCATATAACACCCAGTGCTCCATGCAGAACATGCCCTTTTTAATACCCATCACCAGGCTAACCCATTCCCCGACCCCCCTCCCCTCTAGAACCCTCAGTTTGTTTCTCAGAGTCCATAGTCTCTCATGGTTTGTCTCCCCCTCCGATTTCCCCCCATTCATTTCTCCCTTCCTATGATCTTTTTTTTTTCTTAACATATAATGTATTATTTGTTTCAGAGGTACAGGTCTGTGATTCAACAGTCTTACAGCCCTTTTTTCTAAGCTCTGATTCAATGAAACATTTTAGGTATGGAGCCTATTGCTCTTTCACTGAATATTAAAATGTAATCATTATCTCTAGAAGTCTACAAAACGGCTAGGAATTTGTGAAAGAGGAAGTCATCCTGTTTTTGTGGACTGTTAACAAGTTTAATGCTTGATGTGTTGGGCAGCTTCTCCTGGACCCGCAATGGGACGCATTTTGACATAGATAAGGACCCTCTCGTCACCATGAAGCCTGGCTCAGGAACCCTCACGATCAACATCATGAGCGAAGGGAAAGCAGAGACCTATGAAGGGGTCTATCAGTGCACAGCCAGGAACGAGCGCGGAGCGGCAATTTCTAATAATATTGTTGTCCGTCCTTCCAGTAAGTGGGACTTGTCCGCCAAACAGGACCCTATTTTTAAGGATGGCTCTGAGACTCAGCATCTGTGACCTCATCTAGCTACTATTACAAGAAAACAATGCCATTGATTCCAGTACTCTCACTTTGTTTTGCCTGAAAATTCTTGCTCCTTTCCACTAGCCTAATGCTTTGCCAACCCAGTATGTCTTTTATGCAAGTCCAGAATAAAACACCAGGAGTAAGAAAAGCATTTCTTCCCCAAATTGATCAAATTATTAATTTCTCACATATCTTATATATGAGCAAACTTCCGACAGCCTGACAAAAATAAATTCAGTATGAAATGGGTAATGGGTGGGGCCCCTGGGTGGCTCAGTCGTTAAGCATCTGCCTTCGGCTCAGGTCATGATCCCGGGGTCCTGGGATCGAGCCCCGCATCAGGCTCCCTGCTCAGCGGGAAGCCTGCTTCTCCCTCTCCCACTCCCCCTGCTTGTGTTCCCTCTCTCGCTGTGTCTTTCTCTGTCAAATAAATAAAATCTTTAAAAAAAAAATGGGTAATGGGTAATTAACATTTTTGTTTCAAAGTTTCACTGGAAATAGAGGGACCTCACTACCTTGAGATAATTGTGGCTCTTTTTGCCGTAGTCACTACCCACGTCCTCTCAGCAACTTGTACTTAAAGAGCATGTATATGAAAAACATAACCATTTACAGTTCTGGTCATTTTGAAAACCTGTTATTACCTGTGTTCATTATTGGGGAAAAAAATCACAAATAACAAAAAAGAAATTGAAAAATTTACTCATGACTATTTCCATTCAAGCAAGTAACCACTGCTCTTTCCACATTTTCTAGGCAGAAATGCGTGTATGTGTTCCAACCGAGCTCATTCTGAAGTACTATTTTATAACCTTTTCTGACTTATCTACATATCATGTATATTCTCATATCAATCTTTTACATACCTATACTTACTTAATATATGACACTCAAAAGTGTAGGTGCACAATTATTCGTTTAAACAAACGTTTTGACATTTAGTGCCTTCCATTCTTTCGTAAAGAACACGCTCGTAGCAAAATTATGATGTATCTTCTTTCTTTTTTTACACACCGCAGCATGCTTTTTTTTTTTTTAAGATTTTATTCATTTATTTGAGAGAAAGAGAGCATGAGAAGAGGGAGGGTCAGAGGGAGAAGCAGACTCCCCGCTGAGCAGGGAGCCTGATGTGGGGCTCCATCCCAGGACTCCAGGATCATGACCTGAGCTGAAGGCAGACGCTTAACCAACTGAACCACCCAGGTGCCCCTATGATGTATCTTCTTAATGATTTATTTAATAATACAAACTTTTAGACATGGAATTGCTGCATCAGCATTTATACTTTTAATGGCAGTGAATAAAAATCATCATTTTTTTAGCATTGGATTTAAAGTTATTTTCTTGTTTCTTAAAGTACATGAATTCTGAGTTACTATTCCCCCCAAAAGTTTATTTTGTCTTCCTTTCTAGTGCTCTTTTATTTTTCAATGCAGAAATAACTTAGAAGTTATTATTTTATATCATAGGATCACCGCTGTGGACCAAAGAAAAACTTGAACCAATAACACTTCGAAATGGCCAGTCTCTGATCCTTCCCTGCAGACCCCCTCTTGGATTACCACCACCTATAATATTCTGGATGGATAATTGTAAGTTTTAAATATATGAACTTTCTCTCTTCAAGATTCTTATGATTACTTGCTGTCACAATGAATCGTTACCTCTCATGATTCATAAAAATGTTTATAAGGTGTTTTAGAGATGCTCAAAAAAAAAAGAGAAATGCTCATTGAAATAAATAACATGTCACGAAGTAAGCAACATGATTTTCTTGGGCACCTCCTGTATACCAGGCGCCGCTCTAGAGAAACCACATTCCCTGCCTCCACCGAGCTCATACTCTGTGCAGTGGGAATAGTTGGGGATGGGGACAGAAGCAGCAGTCAATGCATTTATAAAGTAGGTGTCAGTTGACAATAAGTTCTATGAAGGAAAATAAGCAGGGACATCTGGGTGGCTCAGTTGGTGAAGCGTCTGCCTTTCGGCTCGTGATCCCAGGGTCCTGGGATCGAGTCCCGTGGCAGGCTCCCTGCTCAGCGGGGAGTCTGCTTCTCCCTCTGCCCCTCACCCTGCTCTTGTGCTCTCTCTCTCTCTCAAATAAATAAATAAAATCTTAAAAAGAAAGAAAGAAAGAAAAATAAGCAGTGTTTTGAGCAGAGACTTAGAGGAATGAGAGAGCAAGGCAGGCCCCTAAATGTCCAGGTGGAAGGGAAACAGGCAGGCCCCCCAAGGCAGGAGCATCCTAGTGCCTGGAAAGCCCCAGAGGGCAGCGTGGCCAGACCACGGGAACCCGGTGGGAGAGAGACAGACAAGGTCAGAGAAGTCCGGGGCTCAGTACAGAGGACTTTGGCTTTTGCTCTGAATGAAGCAGGGAGACACGGAAGGAGTGACTATACCTGGACCTAACCAGCTAGCATTAGCCCTCCTTCAGTTCCTGTGTGGATTGCAGAGGGGACAAAGGGGGTAGGGAGACCGCCAGGCGGCCCCTGCTGAAATCCAGGCAGAAGCTGACGGTGACATGGACTTGGGTCGTGACTGTCAGGTGGGAACAAAAAGCTTCTGGATATATTGTGGACGTGGAGCCTCTAGATTTCTTGGGATCGGGCTGGGGCCACAAGAGGGAGCGACCAAAGATAACTCCAGAGCTGAACACTGAGTAGCTGACAACACGGAATGACCGTTTCCTGAAACAGCAGAATCCCGTGGCTGGGGGCAGGGAGTCAAGCTATTTGGGATGTGTTCCTTTTGTCATTCAGGTTGTTTTTTTTTAATCTCCAACAGCTTATATTTATTGGGCATTTATGAAGTGCCAGTCCCTTTGCTGAGAACTTTACGTGGGTTATCTCATCAATTTTTTATAACAACTCTATGGGGCATGTCCGATTATTCGTTCTACTTTTTATTTTTTTATATGTTTTTTATCGAAATATAATCAACAATGTCCTGTTAGTTGCAGGTGTACATCATAGTGATTTCATACTTTTATACATTATGGAATGATCCCCACAACAAATCTAGTTACCATCTGTCACTATACAGAGTTACTATAATATGATTTATTCCCTGTGCTGTACAGTACATCCCATGACTTACTCATTTTATTACTGGAAGTTTGTACTTCTTAATCCCCTTCACCTATTTTGCCCATCCCCCATCCCCTCCTCAATTCTGGTAACCAACGGTTTGTTTCCTGTATCTGTGAGTCTCTTGTTTGTTTGTTTTAGATTCTACATATAAGCGAAATTATGTGGTGTTTGTCTTTCCCTGTCTGACTTATTTCACTTAATACTCTCTGGGTCCATCCATACTGTTGCAAATGGCAAGATTTCATTCTTTTTAATGTTGTGTGCTAGTCCATTGTCTATATACCATGTCTTCTTTATCCATTCATCTATGGGTGGACACTTGGGTTGCTTCCCTGTCTTGGCTATTGTGAATAATGCTGCAAAAAACATGGAGTGCTTGTGTCTCTTCCAAATTGGTATATTCATTTTCTTTGGATAGGTACACAGAAGATGGAATTGCTGAATTGTAGGGTAGTTCTATTTTCAACTTTTTGAGGAACCGCCATACGGTTTTCCGGAATGGCTGCACCAGCTTGCATTCCCACGAGCGTTCCTTTTCTCCACATCCTCACCAACACTCATTATTGTTGTTTTTTTTTTATATAATAGCCATTCTGACAGGTATGAGGTAATTAAACCTGTGGTTTTCATTTGCATTTCCCTGATGATTAGTAAGGTGGAGCATCTTGTCATCTTTCCAGAAACTGAGGCACAGAGAATGAAGTGATCCATTAGGCCATTTCACATCTCTCTACCCCAGTACTATCCTTAAGGGAACTGTTTGTTGCCGCCTCTCCTCCTCTGCTAATAGGTTAGCATATTACCTTAGGGGTAGCTTGGGGTTCTGCTTGGAGACCAGGGAACCAGGGTTGTGGAGGTGAGAGGCCTGGAGGCCTGGAGGATAGCCATGAGGAGGTGCCCAGCAGGACCAGGAAGGCAGATGCCGGGCTCTGGTCAGCAATGCAGGAATGGTAGAGCAGAGGTGCCCCTAGAGCCAGGGACTGGGTGAGAGGACTGGGGGTTGAAGTGGTATAGGGGCAGAGCAAAGCCTGAGATGTGGAGATTAGGAGCCACCCAGCGGAATTTAGGGACAAACCAGCAAAGCAGATGAGAAGGAGCAGTCCCTGAGGGAGGAAGAGAACAGAGACAGAGCAGTGTCCTTGGGATAAGGTGAAGCAAAATGTCAAGAAGACAGAACAATCAACTGTTTCAAAAGATCAGATAACTTCTGAGCTGACTGAAAAACAGTTATTCAGTTTGGCGACACGGGGATCACTGTTGACCTTGAAAAGAATCGTTTAGGTGGACTGGTGGGAAGGAATGCAAAATATTTGTAGGGAATACAGTCTATTCTCAGTGACATGATTTCCTCTGAATTCACAGACTGTTCACATTTCTAAAGAGAAAATTTCGCTGGAATATTTAATTTCCATTTGTGACTCTTATATGGAAAAATATTCAGAGAAAGAAAGAAAGAAATGAAAATAAATATGTGAATGAATCAATGAGCAAACATATTTTCCTGTTACTGCATAACAGCTTTTGAACAGATTTTGAAAGAATACATAGCGAATTGGTTGTAAATGAGAGGTGTAGCCAAATGTCACTGCCAAAACGAGACTCCGTGTTTGGTCCTTGGTTCTTACCCAGAAATGATGACCTTTTCACTTAATAAATAGATGAATACATGTGAAGTTTCAGAATCAGTTGAATATGTAACTTTGTTTTCCATATTGCTCTGCTGGGCTATGTCATTTACCTACCTTTTAGGCTGTTAGCAAATCATCTGGACCTTTCAAATGAAATTTCATCTGGAATACAAAAAAAATTTTCAGATTTGTGTAGCATTCTTGCTGTAAGATGACATTATCAAGTTCTTCCTATCTGCATACATTTTTTTTCTAAGTGTAAGGCAAAGGATCTCAGGGAGCAAAGTGCTACCACCCTCTTAAAGTCTCATTCCCTTTCATTTGACCTACCAACACCCATCAATAATAAAATACAGCGTGAGAATCCAAAGAGAATAAATGAATACTTATCTTTAACTCTTTGTATTTATTAAATAAGTATACATTATTTTCCTGAGTTATTTATTTTTTTTTTTTTTGAGAGAGAGAGAGAGTGAGCAAGAGCAAGGGTGAGGAGGAGCAGAGGGAGAGGGAAAGAGAATCCCAAGCAGGTCCCAACCCAGCATGGAGCCTGATGTGGGGCTTGACCTCACAACCCCGAGATCATGACCTGAGCTGAAATCGAGAGCTGGACGCTTAACTGACTGAGCTACCCAGGCGCGCCTCTTGAGTTATTCTTAAAACAACCCTTTCTCTAGGCATTCACGGCTTATAATCATGAATTTACAACCACCAGCCAAACCCCCATTGTGGCCAAGAACTTGGCTAACATGGCTAACCTGCATTGTTTCAGGCTCTGGCTCCACATTTCCCTGCCCCAAGGAGCTGCAGGCTTTCGACCACAATTTTGTGTTTCATGTAATGTTAGATAGGGTGCCTTTTGCGGGAGGAGCCCACTGCTTGGCTCAGACTGGAGAATCCTCCAGAAGACAGAACAACTAGCCCCAAGGCTGCTGGAGTGTGCAGGTTTCCTCGTTCTCTCACTTCAGAGGCACAGAATGCTCAGTTAGGGCTCCAGGAATTGAGTCAGAAGCTTTAAAACATGCATGTTGGGGAGCCTGGGTGGCTCAGTCGTTAGGTATCTGCCTTTGACTCAGGTCATGATCCCAGGGTCCTGGGATCAAGCCCCACATCGGGCTCCCTGCTCAGCAGGAAGCCTGCTTCTCCCTCTCCCACTCCCCCTGCTTGTGTTCCCTTTCTCGCTGTCTCTTTCTCTGTCAAATAAATAAATAAAACCTTAAGAAAAAAAGCATTTTAGCCCACCAAGTGTAAATTCATGTATAGATCAGCGTCCCCACCTCCCCAAATCCTCTATCCACTTAGAAAGCCTTCCTTCAGTGCCTGAGGCTGTACAGTGCCTTAACTGGACCTGAGGGGAAGTAAACTGTTAAGCATGAACCTGGAAAGTCAGAGTGCTGACTTTCATTTCATTTAATCACGGAGCCCCTAGCAAGGGCCTTGCGCGGGTTCAAGGCTACAGCAGACCCTCTCTGTCCTCCTGGAACCTAAATTCCCAGTGCAGGAAGATGGACAATAAAGCACACACGGGCCAAGTAAAAATACATCGTAGGTTAGAAGGAAAGAAAAAAATCGTGGAGTGGGGGTAGGCTGGGCTGGGGTGGCCGCTGAGGGGCTCATCTGCAGCATTCCATCATCATCACTCGCTGTTGTGAGTGGCCCCTGTGTGCTCCCTGATTCCTCAATGAGGCCCCGGGCTCAGGCAGGGAGGGAGCCTGAGATGCCGGGCGCCTCACGTGGAGCCTAGTTTGAAGTTAGGTGCTCTCACAGTGTCTGGTATCTGACTGAGCACGTGGAGACAAGCCAACTTAACAGCCTTACAACCTTTTTTAACGCATTTTCTAAGATACATGTGTATATGTGTTTAACAGTTAGGGACTAACTTAAATATTAGGAAAAGTCCCACAAACTCTTTTGTAAAGCATTTTTTTTTTTGTTTACACTTGCTTAATACAACACTTGACTGTACGATTCTAATCTCACCTCTGCCCGCACTCCAGAGGAATTAGGGTTTGGCAGGCGCAGTTGAAGTTTTCATGTGTCCTGCTGTTTTTTTCTACAATTACTTGCTTTTATTCAAAGAGCTTTATAGGGGGAAAAAATTCTGGTGAAGTTCACAAAACTATTAGTAGATACATTTGTCTTGGTCATTGGGCAAGTGGCCACTTTGCGATGGAATCATCTGAATGTCTCTCTGTCTTTCTCCAGCCTTTCAGAGACTTCCACAAAGTGAGAGGGTTTCTCAAGGTCTGAACGGAGACCTTTACTTCTCCAATGTTCTCCCAGAGGATACCCGTGAGGACTATATCTGTTATGCCAGATTTAATCACACTCAAACCATACAGCAGAAGCAACCTATTTCCGTGAAGGTGATTTCAGGTAAGAGCTCAGCCTCCTGACTCTTTCTTCCAATGATGTTTACAAGTGTTGCCTAAAATATATTAACAGTAAACACTACTGACTTTGAAGTATACAAGTTCATTGATCAGGAAAGTACCCGTGACTAGTTATTGATGTGTTGGCAGATAAAGAGCACACATAACCTAGATACTGTATTTTACATTCTTTGCTGATTTCACCGTTGCTGTTTCCACAATAACTTTCTGGGTCTACTTGGTCCCCAGAGCATTTGCGTGTGCTTTATGCCCCAGCGAGCCTTTAATTAGCAGCCCTACAGCTTCAGTTTTGTGTCCCTGTATTACTGGCTGGGGGTGGCTGAGTGAAGTAATCAATCAATCAGTCACGTACAATGTAAAAGCCTGTGTTTACTTGGTAGGGGTGGCACTTGGTCAGCATAGCTGTATACGTCTGCTTTTGTTGCCCAATACCTTTTTATAGTACCCTCTCCCTGCTTTTTGCATTCTTCATAATATTCTGTTTATTTCAGTGGATGAATTGAATGACACCATAGCTGCTAATTTGAATGACACTGAGTTTTATAGTGGTGAGTTATGGTGACTGCAACTGATTCTCCTCTCCTTCATTGTAGAATTCAGTTCACTAACTTCACCTCCATAGCTATTAAACCTAATTTCTTCATGAGAGTCCTAGTTCCATGTTTAATGCTGCTAGAACGAATGTGTGTTTCCTATGAAATTTAGCTATAAGCTTACGTCATGTCACTAAAACATTTTGCACGTTGTATGTATAATAATAAAAATTATTATCACTGTTTTCATGTAAAGCACCATTTCCCGTGATTTGGAAAAAAAACTCTTTCATGTATGTTTAGAATTATATTTTTCATTTTTTTGTCTTGTTCACAAACTTTTCTCATTAACCAAATAAGAGTGCATTAACCCACTAGAATACTAACTCGTCAGTCTTAGTAACCGTTAGCAACTAACATCAAGTGGATTTTGATAGTAAATCATCACATTTCCCATCTGTTCTCACATGACATCATCAGTGTCATATAATTAGCAATAGCGTTTCTCTTAGTTTTGTTTAAAACCAAGTCACTATCTTCAGCGGAAATAACCTTTTTAAAAATAGAGCTTTTAACTTTATCCTTTTAAAAAGAAAAGAAGTTGGTTTCCTTAAGGGAAGTGTGACTTTCAAGTATAGGGTCTATCAATGAAAATTGTGGTTTCTGGATATGAGGGTCCTCTTAATGATCTCTAAGGCAGAATTTCTGCTGTATTAATTTTTTGCCCTTGAGATATAAAGTAAAAAACATTAAGGTACTATCAATGACCGGAGTAGGCATACCACAACTTCTGCCTTACTATTTGATTTTAATATTCCTGAAAAAGATGGGTCTCAAAACCATTCCCAAAGTGATTTCAGAGAGGTAAGGTTTCCTCCACAATTTCTAAAGTCTTAGGAAAATTCGCATTTCTCTCAAGTAATACCTTCCCTGGTATTCAGTTTTTTCTTCTGAGAAATGAGAATAATTCATATATTACCTTTTCACTCACTTTTGGTGAGCATCAAATAGATAATGCATTTAAGTGTCGAAAACTGTAAAGGTCTATAGAACCTTAAGACAGTATAATTCCTACTTCACGTTTTTCTGAGAGGCCATTAGAAGGTAAGGCCACATTTAAATAAGGTTTCCATAAAACAGAAGATGGCCTACATGGGCCTCCCTGAGATCTTGGACTTGAGGCCTCTTTATTTTTTCATTGAGGAAACCAAGTTCAATTTATTTAACATTCATTATCCTTAATGTATGGCACACAATTTGCCAGACCTCTGTCAATAACTTTCTAGTTTTGTTTTGTTTTGTCTTCCATAAACCTTGCAGTTTGGGGGTCTTGATATTTAGACATCCCCCACAGATTTATGTCCATGATTAATCAATGGAATTGACTATGATGTTGTCCCTAGTGTAAACCAAACTGCCCGCTTCCATAGTCACAGCTTTCAGAAAAATCTAGCATCTTCCGCAATATGGTTAATTTTCACTTTGACCCAAGCACTAATTTTAAGAGATGGGTAGTTTGATAATGTGACTTTCCTCTCTATGTCTACATTTTGAAAATTTGCCCATGCACCAAAAATTTATAAAAACCTAACCCAAATCAAAGGAATGCACAAGAGTAAAATAGTCCTTCGTATTAGTGCTTACTGTAACCAACATCATTTCCGTTCCCAGCTGAGTCAGCAATGTTTGTAAGGCAGAGAGAACGAATTTCACAGTGTTAAGTGGTTTTGAAAAGGGATTAGATTTTTAGACAGTGAACTGTGTTTCTAGAAATATATAGTCATAACTTTTAATCCATATGATTGTATTGTTTGCAGCAAAATCAAATAGAGAGAGGCCACCAACCTTTTTAACTCCAGAAGGCAATGCCAGTCATAAGGAGGAATTAAGAGGGAATGTCCTTTCACTGGAATGCATTGCGGAGGGATTGTGAGTTCACACTGTCTTTTTTTTTTTTTTTAAGATTTTATTTATTTACTTATTTATTTGAGAGAGAGAGAGCACCAGCAGGAGAGAGCATGAGCCTGTGGGCGGGGGAGGGGAGGGCAGAGGGAGAAGCAGACTCCCTGCTGAACAGGGAGGCCAGCCTGGGGTCTTGATCCTGATCCCAGGAGCCTGGGCCAGAAGGCTGACTCTTAACCAATTGAGCCACGCAGGTGCCTCATGCCTCTGCTAGGCAGCTCCGCTGTGGGTTCACAATTCCAGGGGTCTGCTGGCTGCTCGCAGGGCAGCTCTTGGCCTTGAGTTTCTCCTGTCCCTCTAGCCGTCTAGCCCTGGCTTATTCTCCTAACAAGAGAAGCACATGCACGGCCTCTTAGGGCTCTTAGGGTCTAGCCTCAGAACAGGCACTCTGTCCCTCCCACTACTTCCTGTAGGCAGGTCACAAGCCTAGCTTCTTTGCAGATGCCTCAGGACAACTGTTAAGTTAGGCGCACATCAGTGGCAAGTTTCTACATCGTTCCATCTTAGCCCTGGCACCGAGCAAGTAATGTTGATGTAGGCACATTTGCTGAAAACATTGAATGGAATCTCAGAAACATTGCCATGATCCCATGTCCTGACCTGGTAATGCAACAGTTTCTCGATCCTTCCCAGAACTGACCTCCAGGAATGGCTTTACTGCAGGAGACACGTGGAGGTCTCTGCTGGTCATGTCGGGAAATCACTACACATGTTACTCAGTTCAAGTTAACTGAAACTAGCAAAATGCCCCTTTAAAGATGTATTAAGTATATATCCTTCCCACCAGAATTAAAAAACAAACCCCCAAACTCTTGCAGTTTTCATCATCATGGTGTTAGAAAATGGTTTAATCTACCAACCTCCAACCTTTTGGGAGTAGAGATACCCATTCTCACAATTCTGTGATTCCCCTTCCTGTGAAGAGTCTATTACATAAAAACTAAAATACGGTTGATATTTGGAAATTGCATAAAACTTCCAAAAGAATTTTTAAAACCTTGGGATGTTATAAAACTAATATTGGGGGCTCTTACCATTTACAAACCAGTAGCTGGAGGACTCACAGAATCAAAATATTTCTAATTCTTAACAACTGCTCAGTGGAGTACTAAGCAGGCTTCCAGAACAATCCATGACTTAGTTTGACCTCATGCTTCTATCCCCATGATCCATTCACCTTCAGATCATGTGAGGTGCAGATTATCTGACTAAAAAAAAACACCGGAATATGCTATCAGATACCACATGGGTCTCATATCTTCCACTATTTAAAATGATTTTACATTTTCTACCTCTTTTTGTATTCACAGCAGGTTTTATTTTAGAAGCTATTTCATCAAAGAAATATGTTCAATTATTTCTATTCAGCTACACAAACCAGAAGCAATTCTACAATCAACAAATTAATCCCACTTGCATTTCTAAGGACAAATATTTTGATCTTCCTGAGGTCCCTAGGCCTTTTTTTTTGGTCTTTATCTTCCCAACACACAACTCAGTGCTTGGTCCTTAGTGCAGTGCTTAGTAAATGTTTGTGTCCGGTGGATTTTTATTTTACCTTCATAAAAATCTTCTAAAGTCATTAGATCAAAATTCTTCCATTTGATAGGGAAATGTGTGCAAAAGTTCATGGGCACAAATATATATATATATATGTATATATCAGCTTTTTCTCTGCATTTTTAACTCTAGCTGATAAAAAAAACTCAGTATCATTAATTTCATAGTAAGCCTTTGGAGTAACGTATTCCTTCATAAAATTTTCGAAGAATGTCTCAGTGATCAGAACTTTGAAGAGAATAAAATAATGAGGCCCCTTCAGCGAAGTCACTAGGCTAGCCTGCTCATTACATCAGGGAAGTCAAAGGTCATGGAGTGCCATGCATTACCACGATGCTGCTTTCATGAGGGTGCTAGCTCACAGAATTCGATACAGGGCTTAAGCATTATTTATAAAAGTGTGATGCTAGTTACAATGTCTTTCTAGTCCTCATGATCTTTAAACAAAGAAGTTGTTATCAACTTGCGTGAAGATTCACCCTCAAAAGCAGTGAGGTGAACCTTTTTTAATAATATCATTTATTTATCTTATCAGGCCTACCCCAGTTATTTACTGGATAAAAGAAGATGGAACACTGCCCATCAACCGGACATTTTATAGGAACTTCAAGAAAACTCTACAGATCATTCAGGTTTCAGAAGCAGACTCTGGAAATTACCAGTGTATAGCCAAAAACCCACTGGGAGCTATCCATCATACCATTTCTGTCACAGTTAAAGGTATACAATTGTTTCAAATGCATGGCTCTTGCCTTCATGAGAAGTCATAAATCTTCAATTACATACACCTTTGATCTGATTCTTCAATTAATAATAAATGTAAATTCATATCAACATTCCTGACACCTTCTTTTCTCATTGCTCTTTAGAGTGCATCTAAATCAGGTCAAAAATTCTCTTTCTCAAACCTTCCTCATAGAAGAATTCCAATTAATAACTGTAGAAAGAAGAAGGGAAACCAGAAATCACTTCAAGGAGAAACGGGGGATCCCCTTGGCCTCAAAGTATTTCTTGTCATACACACACCCCAAAAATTAATTATGGAAGCAGGTTTAACATATTTTCACAAATTCTTCACCTTTCCTCTGGGAAGGAGATGAAGCTGAATTTCCCTACCCTTGAGTGTGGGCTGGACTTAGTGACTCACTTCTAATGAATAGATTATGGAAAGCAGGTAAATAGCAACTTTACAGAGAAACCTGGCATATATCACCTAAACCATGTGCTCAAGGTTAGCATAAACAGTAATAAGTCATGTTGGTATCATGGACCCCCTAAAATGATGCAGTAAGAGGGATCCATCACCCAAAACCTCAGTCTAATCATGAAAAAACACCAGACAAACCCAAGTTGAAAGACATTCTATGAAATAACCGATCAGTACTCTTTAAAAGTATCAAGGTCACGAAAGACAAGGAAAGACCAAGAAACTGTCAGATTGGAGGAAACTAGTAAGGCGACAAGACAAGTAAAGACGATGTAGTATCCAGGAGAGGGTCCTGGGACAGAGAGAAGCCATTAGTAGAAGATGTAGTTTAGCTAATGGTATTGTACGAGTGTTAATTTCTTGTGTTGATGACTGTATCATTGTTATGTAAGGGAACATTAGAGAAAGCTGGGTGAAGGGCTCATGGGAGTTCTGTATCCTAACTTTGCAACTTCTCAAAAATGCGAAGTTTTTTAACTTCTTTCCCAGGTTTATAATTATGTGTATTCTGCAGGGCTCAGAATCTAAATTCATGTTTCTTAGCCCTACCTGTACCTGTAAATTGCTCTACAGCCTTAGCAAAATCTGTTACCTTTCTAATGTCTGATTAATTTAATGTAAAGCGAGATGGCCTTTGTATCAAAAGGTTCTAGAAATAATACATAGTTGTCTGTGAATCTCTTGAAACATTCTTTTGAAAATCTGAAGTGTTCTTTGAGGCATCACTTATAAATTTATTTACTCTTAAAAAAGGAAGCTAACAAATGTTTTGCAAATATTTTTATTATTAAAATAGTTCAGCATACTAGATTTGCTAGAATACTTGTATGATTCAAATGTTTGTGGGTTTTTTTCCTTTCATTCACAAAGCGGCTCCATACTGGATCATGGCACCTCAAAACCTCGTGCTGTCCCCAGGAGAGGACGGGAGGCTGATGTGCGGAGCTAATGGCAACCCCAAGCCCAAAATTAGCTGGTTATCGAATGGAGTCCCAGTAGAAAGTAAGTTGCCTTGACAGGTTCTGCAGTTGCAGTCCATTTTCAGAGCGTAGCTACATCTCAACAGGGAACAGGTTGGGGTGAAATCACTGGTGGTGAGGAAGGAAGCCATGGGTAATTTAAAAAGAGGCACCAAATTACCTTTGGATGTTTATTTTATTACCTTTAGATATTCTTTATGACGGAATACTTTGTGCCCTTAACATGACGGTATGTGTTGATTAGGACTTGGCAGTATTTCCTGTTTTTTTACATGGATCCTAGGAAGAATGACAGGGTCAGAAAGAAACATTCCCGCAGAGTTCAGATGATCATCTCTGTTCCGAATGTCGAGTGTTTTGTGGAGACAGCACAGGAGTCCGAGGAGACATGGAGGGGAGGCTGTGACGAGAATAAGAGACACAGCTGTGGTCATTTAAAGAGTTTTCATTCCTAAGCACAGCCAGATGTTCCCCAGTTCTCTGGTCTTCAGAGGTCACTGTCCCATTTAATGCCCACAGAAGAACATATCCTCTGACCATGACTACATGCAGGACCCTCGGTCTTTGATTAGTCTTCCCTCCCCAGGTATGCCGAGCTCACCTGGAGCAGTACTGACACAGGCCCGGCTCCTGTGGGCCACCTCTTCAGCCATCTTCCCTGGACCACTCGTGGCTCTCGCTCTCTCAACCAGCTTCTCCAGCCTGCTGCCATGCTGCCCAGAACGGTCCCCCAAAGTGTGGCCACAGGCCCGTCCATTAATCTTCTAAATCACAGCAGACACCAGCTTTACAAAACCTGGGGGAAGGCTTGCGGATAATGGAAGGCTTGAGGATGATGGCAAAACAAAACAAACCTAATATCGGATATTGCCCCTCCCTGCCCCCAGATTCCTAAGAGGGAGAGCCCACCGACTGTCCTTTTGTCCTGGCCTCAGCCACCACCAGCGGCTGCGTGAAGGAGAATCTCTGCACATGTTCCCCTTCTTGGAGTTCACACCCAGACCCAGAGAGAGAGAGAAAGTTGGCTTTCATTTAAAACCTAGACTCAGGCTCACCCTCCAGCCAATAACATAATAATCAGCAAAGATATTCTTGACTCACAATAAAGACAACGTTCAGGCTTATGAAGTAGAGCAGCTTCGCTCTTCATTGCCTCCAAGCCAGAGACAGAAATTGGTTCTACTTCTACATAACTAAAAGGCCCATTAAACTGGCTTTTCTGAAATAGTCTTCACCCTAGGATGGATCTGAGAAATGCTGGCAGATTTCCGTGGCTCATTCCCTGCGGCTCACCATCCAGATCTTACAATGGCAGGTCTAAACCAAGGAAGAGCTTCCGATTCCATGAATTTTATGAGGAATTTGTGTCACACTACGCAATAGTTACCAGATACTCTAAAACAGACAATCTGTGTTTACTGTAAAAGGAAATTATGTTCCTGGGAGAATACAGATTCCACAGAGGCCAGCAAATGGGGCTTGGGTATTTCTGCTCCCAATTTTAACCATGATTGGGATCAGGAAGAAGTGCAGAGAGTATTTTCTGGTTGTGCATTGGGAAGCTGTGGCCATGAGTGGAATCAGAGAAAAGAGGAATACGGCCCAGACCTAAAGAAGAAGTTTTATGGTGCACTCTCTGATTTTCCTGGGAACGCATACAAAATGGCAGGAAAGGCTGGAGTGTGCTCAGCGCTGCGGTAGCACGGTTCGCAGCTTTGGAGGGTCTGTGCCCTTTAGGGAGGATTAACCACACACTTGAGATCTGGCCTCTGTGGGACTGACAAGGTGGTGCCTCTCAGGGAGCCTTGTGGCTCCAGTTAAATTAAGAGCTTTGAAAGGCACTCATAGACACTCCCCTTTAAGTGAAATATCTGGGTGCAGGATCAACCCAGAAGGGCCTGCCTGGCGAGAGCGGAGGCACAGGACAGTGGTCCTGGGATACAAGTTAGGCCCTTCTACCGTAATCCCAAATCATCTGATTAGGTCCCGAGCAGAAAGTTGGAACAAAATCTCCCAAATCGGGTTCCAAATTCGTTCATATACCAAGGTGATATGAAGCGTCTGTGAATGGTGGCTTCCTCCACATCTGGTGGCCAGGCTCAGAGTGCACGGGTTCATGTGCGGGATCTCATCACTAACAGGCGATGGGCTTGCGGCAGCTGGTGGGGACCCTCGTAGCTCTCTGCACAGTGGTCCTACAGGACCACCCTGTTCTCTGCCCCTACCCCCGGCAGCTGATCTATCTACAGACTCTGCTGAGCCTTGACTAGCTGAGTTCAAAGTGAACCCTACCTGTCTCCCCTCGTGTTGACCTCCCCTGCTCCAACATAAGGAGTAAATGTGGAAGAAAACGGTCAAAAAATCGGTAGAAGTTTAAAGAGCGTTGCACCTCTCCCCTTTCCATCCTGTTTTATAATTAGCCTGTGATCTGGAGACCCCGAAATTGAATTACCTTTGAAGTTTGGGGGCCACTCTAGACATGGGAGATGGGCTTGTTTCTCCTCTGCAGCTTGTTGAGCTGTGCACCCCACAGATGCCTGCAGAGATGGAGCAGTGGGGGACAGCAGAGAGGCAGGCTGGGCGAGGGATGGCACAGTCGCCTCAGGACTTGGTGGATGGAATTGGCATGGCGAGGGTTCCTAACCTTCAAGGGGGCCTCGTGTAGACCCCAGAAGTTAGCTGGGACCACCAGCTGTGGTGGCCACCACACCTTCCCTTAAGAAGCTGTAGAAACCTTGAGGGGGGCAGCTGCTGAGAGCGGGTGAGTCAGAAAGGCCTCAGGAATAATAGACTTGGGGTCTGGGACAGGAATGTAGGTGGCCTCCGGGAATACTGCATTCTTGGGGTACCTGGCTGTCTGCCGCAGCTATAGTTCACTTCCCAGACCAGTGTGACATCTCTGTCCTCTGCTGTCACGTACTGATGTAATCTTTGCCCTATTAAAGAAATCAGAACTTGTATTTGTCTTCTGGTTGGAAGAACATGTTTCTTAAGGCATTTTGAAATGTTTAGAGTCCTAAACAGCAGAGATGAGCTAAGAAGCTGACCCGAAGGATCCTGGCATACCCCTACCACTAGACGAACTAACTGGAGTGTCTAAAGTGTCGTTATAAATTAGCTATTGATTGCGATCAGAGTGTTGAACAACCACATAGAGAACTGTCGGATGGTAAATTTATGTGGTTTTAAGCCACTAATTTTGTAACTTGTTACAGCAGCCATAGAAAACAAATACAGTGTGAGTGGGTACGTGACTACTAAGACAAGGCTGAATGACTGTAGTTTGGTTTACCTGTATTAAAGTGAGTTAATAAGCCATAGGTGAACCAAATATTTGAGATTTGCAAGGGATAAAGGCATCTAAATGCAGTGATAACTATGTCTTAGATGTACCTCCCTTTCCTGTCATCAAAGAGAAAAGTACAGTGTTTGGAATGGAAGCAAAGCCTTCTTAAGTGGGTCAAGTTGCAAGAGGAGATTTCAGGGAAAAGGTGCTATTACGGAGTGTTGATTTTGATCCTCATGCTGAGGCAGATGCCTCTTGCCCCTTTGAGTGTGCTTTTAAAGCAATGTAAGGTCACAGCCTGAGGTTTAGCACTCACAGACGGGAATTTATCTCCAGGAACACAGCACTTCCACACTGCTGGGCATGACCTGGACTAAATTCCTACATATTATGTTACATGCCCTGTTTCACTCCACTTTGGTAAGGATCAGTCCTGGTCCTGACTTTTTTTTTTTTTAATGTACTTGAGAGATTTAGCTGAAAAACACATAATTTCACATGATTTGTTTCTGCCTCAGTCTCAGGAATTTCTGATACAGGAAAATATTTTCATATTTGATGATTGGCCCTGTATATGTCTTTACGTTCTTATTTGTTTATTTCGACGAGAGGCTCGTCAAGACACAGGTTTGGTAGAGCTAGAAGGTTTTATTTTTGACTAGTGTTTGCTGTCTCCTCTCGAGAATTAATTGCCTCCTCATGAAGAACCATGGTTTCTTTGTGAACAAGGCAATGCTTTCCCGAATGTGTATTTCTGTTTTCACCTACCTTGTGCTTTTTCCCCTGGATCTCTCAAAATAATGTTCAGTTTTACAGAATCAATCAACTTAGGACTGAATGAATATCGAGTATAATGTGCTGATAAGTGATAACCAAAGTCAGAGGAGGGAAAATTATGATTTCTCCTCCTCACTACATATACCTCAATTGGCATGTATTTCTGTTCTACTTACTAGAGTGTAGTCCTCACACTTTACATCTTCTAAGCAGAGAAGAATAAACAGATGCTTTATATTTTTACACCCAAACAGTTGCTCCGGATGACCCCAGCAGAAAAATAGATGGCGATACCATTATTTTTTCAAATGTTCAAGAAAGATCAAGTGCGGTGTATCAGTGCAATGCCTCTAACGAATATGGATATTTACTGGCAAACGCATTTGTAAATGTGCTGGGTAAGCTCTCCCTTTATTAAAGACATGGCCAGTTCAGTTAATGACCGCTGTTGTTCTCAGCAAAAGTAGAGCGAGTGTCTACTGTGTGCGATGCACAGAGGACTTGGAGCTGCATGGGTTGTATGAAGGTGGGTAAGATACAGATCTTCCCTAAAGGGTATGGTACTCTGGCCTTTGTGTTCTTTTGTAATGCAATCTTTGTGGCAAATTGTTTACTGTAGATGTAATCAAATAGACTGCTCCATCCACAGATGGTTAGGCTAAGTGTCAAACCCTCAAAAGGAAAATAGCATTAATCTGCTATTGGTAACTGAATGTTACTGCCACTCCATCTCTAGAAACTGGTAAGTTCAACAACAATCTCATTCTGATTTTTGAAAAAATAAATCACCAGTCGTTAATGTTCGACCTTTATCCTCGTCACAGATGTACGTTTATTTATTAATCCTTAATAATATGTTTAGAACACTATGGTAGACTCAAACATCTTCTGAAATGTTTGGTGTTTTGTTTTGGTTTTTTGAGTGTAGTTGACATACCATGTTACGCTAGTTTCGGGTGTACAACTTAGTGATCTGACAAGTGTACACATGATGCTTATATTCACAGCAAGTGTAGTTGCCATCTGTCCTGATACAACACGATTACAGTATCATTGACTGCATTCCTGATGCTCTGCTTTTATTCCCGGGACTTAGCCATTCCATAACTGGAGGCCGGTCTTTCCTGCTCCCCTTCACCCATTTTTTTTTAATATTTTTTTAATTTTTTTTATTCTTTTTTTTAATTTTATTATGTTAATCACCATACATTACATCATTAGTTTTGGATGTAGTGTTCCATGATTCACTGTTTGCGTATAACACCCAGGGCTCCATGCAGAACGTGCCCTCCTTAATACCCATCACCGGGCTAACACATCCCTCCAACCCCCTCCCCTCTAGAACCCCAGTTTGTTTCTCAGAGTCCATAGTCTCTCATGGTTCGTCTCCCCCTCCAGCTTCCCCCCCTCATTCTTCCCCTCCTGCTATCTTCTTTTTTTTTTTCTTAACATATATTGCATTATTTGTTTCAGAGGTACAGATCTGTGATTCAACAGTCTTACACAATTCACAGCGCTCACCATAGCACATACCCTCCCCAATTTTGCCCAACTCTGGACCCCTCCCCTCTGGCAACCATCATTATTTATAGTTCCAATCCTGCTTTTGTTTGTTTATTCTTTTTTTTTTTAGATTCCACTTATCGGATATGAGTGGAATCATGGGTTTTGTCTTTCTCGTCTGACTAATTTCACTTGTCATAATACTATCTAGGTTCATCCATGTTATCTGAAATGGCTCAGTCTCATCCTTTTTATGGCTGTGTAATATCCCATACACACACACACACACACACACACACACATACGCACGCACGCATGCCACATTTTCCTTGTTCATTTGTTTATTGATGGACACTTAGGTTACTTCCATATCTTGGCTATTGTAAACAATGCCGCAATAAACACAGGGGTGTATATGTCTCTTTGAGTTAGTGTTTTTGTTTCCCTGGGTAAATACCCAATAGTGGAATTATTGGATCATATGATATTTCTATTTTTAAATTTTGAGGAAATTCCATACTGTTTTCTGCAGTGGCTGTACCAATTTACATTCCCACCAACAGGGCATGAGGGTTCCTTTTTCTCTACATCCTCGCCAACACCTGTTGTTTCTTGTCTTCTTGATTTTAGCCATTCTAAGGCATGAGTGATATCTCAATGTGGTTTTGATTTGCGTTTCCCCGATGATGAGTGATGTTGAGCACCCTTTCATGTGTCTCTTGGCCATCTATATGTCTTCTTTGGAGAAATGTTTATTCAGGTCCTCTGCATGAAATGGTTGGTTTATGTGAATATTCCATTTCTCATACTGGACAAAACTACCGAAAACATCAAATTTATTAAAATTGTATGTGAGACTTGTTTTCATGGCTCCAGGGAATTATATTTCAACTCAATAAGTGTAGTATCCTCCCTTTCAAATGAAATTAAAGTCAGGAAGCCAACCAGTCCTTGGTATGTTTCCTTCATGCTTGAAATGGAGGCCAGTGACTCACACGCAGAGCTGAGCACACGTGAAGTGTTGGTGGGTGTTTGGGAGCCAGTTTCTGGTTCTGTTTCAGGTGTCCACACTCTGAGCTTTTCTGCCACTGTGTCCCTGTCACCCCTCCTACCCCACCCCCAGCCCCCTCATAAGCCCAAGGTTAGCATGGGCCAATCACTTAACAAAGATGTACTCGGCCATTATTTTTGTGCCAGATACCTGACCTCATTTCTGGGAAGAAAACAATAAAAGTCCCATTCCTTGCCTGCAAGGGACTCACAGGGTGGTAGGACATCTAGATAAATAAAACACTAGGGCGCCTGGGTGGCTCAGATGGTTAAGCGTCTGCCTTCGGCTCAGGTCATGATCCCAGTGTGCTGGGATCGAGTCCCGCATCGGGCTCCCTGCTCCTTGGGAGCCTGCTTCTCCCTCTGCCTCTCTCTCTCTCTCTGTCTCTCATGAATAAATAAAATCTTTAAAAAAATAAAAAAATAAAATAAAAATAAAATAAAACACTAAAATACCGTGCCTGAGCAAGATGAGATGTGGGGTATGAGGCAGAAGGAGAAAACTTGTATTTCTCCACCTTGAGATGCTGGTGGTGTCGTACCTGATAGAGAACATAAGGGGAGAGACATAGTGGTTATGCTTTACTGTAAACTTGAACGGCCTTCAAATACAGTAAAATACATGGTGGGCCTAAATGTTTGTTTTATTTAATATTTACTTTACCTTTTTAAACTTTTTTTTAGCTGAGCCACCACGAATCCTTACATCTGCAAATACACTCTATCAGGTCATTGCAGACAGGCCTGCTCTACTGGATTGTGCCTTCTTTGGCTCTCCCCTGCCGACCATTGAGTGGTAAGTAATGGCTCTGTTTGCCCTTAATATTTATGTTTGCTAAAGCCTTCAAATTTCTCTGGGTGTTGGGTTTTTATTTATTCAGAGGACAGGACTGACTCCATCATACTATTATTAAATTCATTCGTAAAGATGTATTAACTACTTGCTCGGTGCTAAATACTTCCACATGTATAATCTATTCAGCAGCACACTTTGTCAGGCACAGAGGTGTAGGGAAGTAGGTTTGTTGAAAATTTAAGGTATAGTAATATGTTACAATGCCATGAGCACCACCTGGGACTTTGCAAGGAATGGTGAGTGGAGACTGTTGGGGGTACCCTCCTTGCTAATAAAGGATCCTCTGGGGTCGGGGAGAGGTTCTATAAGCTCCAAACCAGCATTTGCTCCCCCACATGCCACTCAGGACTGATTTGCCTGCTTACTTTAGCCTGAGCTGGGAGGCTCAAGGCAAGGATGGGCAGCAGCTCAGAAGGAAGGAGTAAAAGAAAATTAAAACATTCGTTTCCCGATCGTCCATCAGGGACCAGACACAGAGCCGGGCTCCCTCAGCCGATGTGAGGGCAAAGCCAGGTATAGGATTAAGGACAGTCTCCCCAGGTCTCCACTGTAGCCGCAGAGAGGAGAAGCACGGTGCTTGGGCAGACGGCATCCTGGTGAGGTCTCTTAGGTTGCTTAGGTTGTTTTAGCTTAGGGTGACTTTGCCTTGCCAGTTTTGTCTGACAGTAATCAGGAAGCTGAACAGACATATACTTTGCATACAGGCTTTCTTGCTTTTCTTCCCTGAGTATTTTCCTATTCATACAAATAAAAAATTTCTTTAGAATTCAAATCAAGTATCTTCTACTCGAGTTGGCTTTAGAATTGTAGCCTGCAGATGGACTTACGAATATGTCCCAGGAGGGAGAAAAAGGCCAAAAAGATCTGTCATCATGTTGCCTGTTTTATTACCCATGTGGAGATAGAATGGGTAATCATGTGTGTATTAAATATGAATCTGATACAGAAAATTACAATTGAAGTATTTCGTATTGTTATCCTGATGCTTCAAGCACCACTTCTCATGAAATTTTCCACTTTTACATCCTGCCTTCCATGGACCCCACTGACTTACAGGCATGCAATCCGAGACATCTTTTGCAGATTCCAAATGTCTCCGAACTTGATACAATGATGCACATCATCATGTGCTGACCTCGAATGTGGCATTTTATGTCTGACTTCAAATTATGATTTTTTTTATTCCCATTGTGATAATTTCTGTAATGAAGGTTCAAGGGAGCTAAAGGTAGTGCCCTTCGTGAAGATATTTATGTTTTGCATGAAAATGGCACTTTGGAAATTCCTGTGGCCCAAAAGGACAGTACGGGAACTTATACATGTGTTGCAAGGAATAAATTAGGAATGGCAAAGAATGAAGTTCACTTAGAAATCAAAGGTAAGGTGGAGGTGATGAAGTTTTTTCAGGTATTATGTGACTTTGAGCAAATTCTTCAGCTTTGGCAATGGATAACAATAGCTAAATTTCAGATGCAACGAGGATCATTAAACAGCCCGAATATGCAGTCATGCAAAGAGGGGGCACGGTGTCCTTCGAATGCAAAGTGAAACATGATCACACCTTAATCCCCACCATCACATGGCTGAAGGACAACGGTGAGCTGCCCAATGACGGAAGGTATTTGAAGACCATTTCTTTCCTTTCTCCTCCCTGCCTCTTTGAGCTTCTCTGAACTAAAGGTTTATCGTAGAGTGACTTACCAGTGGTGTTTTTAAAGTTTCTGAGATCTGGTCTCTCCAAAAAAAAAAGTGCATTTTCTCCCTGCTGCAAAATGTGGGGACCTAAAAAGGTATCGAGTTATTGAAATCAGACCCTGAGAATGTTTGTCTGTCTTTGTGTTCTGGTCTCCTGTGTAATTCAGGATGGGAAAAACCTTTCAGGCCTTGGATGACTTCCATTGTTTTCTACCTTGTACAGTGAAGTCTCGACAGATGATGTTTTCATTACCATTCTACAAATAAGCAGAAATGTGATTGCTTTAATCAGCAGAGTGCACCTAAATCCTTGTCGTTATTTTAAAGGACACCAGTTTTCATTCGGATAGGGAATTTTCTTTTGATTTCACTTTGGCCAGTAGAAAGAGAAGGGGGAAAAAACAGGTAAACTATTTAAAATAGCCTAAACACGTTGCAGTCCTTGAGCCTGGAATGGAGGAAAAGTCATACCCATTTTCTGGGTGAAGCCTCAATTTGAATGAATAGGTATAGAGCTGACCTAGTGAATTTTAACTGTCACAGAGGCTACAAACATTGCCCCCCTCGTGGAAGAAATGCCGTGTCCTGGTGGAAATGCTCCCTGTGGTTTGCTTGCAACTGTGCCTAAGCAGTGTGTGTTGCTTAACTGCCCCTAAACACACACACACACACACACACACACACACACACACACACACACACAAAACTATGTGACCTTCTCCTCTATACTCAGGATTTCCATCTAATTTTATGCTTCCAGCTGGCCAGGTTTTTATTTTGTTTTTTTTTTTTTAAAGATTTTATTTATTTATTTGAGAGACAGCATGAGAGAGCACAAGCAGGGAGAAGAGGGAGTGGGAGAAGCAGGCTCCCTGCGGAGCAGGGAGCCGGATGTGGGGTGTGGGGCTCGATCCCAGGACGCTGGGATCATGACCTGAGCTGAAGGCAGATGCTTAACTGACTAAGCCACCCACTTGCCCCCGCACCTGGCCAGTTTTATTTGTGGAATCTGAGTTGGTAAAGGTGAGAAGGAAATAGAAAGAAATGACCGTCGAGTGAAGGTGGCTAAAACTTTAACTTGGAAATTCCCTGCAAAGACAGTGAATGATTTATGCATCCTCTTAAAATCATGCATGAATCCTATTTACATGGATTTTTGACCTACTGAGTAATTTCTCATGCCAGCTAGTAACCTCTAGAGAACTCTCCGTGGCGCTCGCTGATCTAAGTCATCCTGTCCCCTTATGATAAAGTTGATACTATTCTTTGCATTTACTTACTCCCATGAGAGTTCATGCAGGTGGCAAAAATGGCACAAAATTTCTGCAGTCAATGATAAATTATTTTAAAATACACACTTTGTTAGAAATGGAGCTGCAAATGTTTGTCCTCTCTCTCTGTCTTTGTTTCAAATTCACAGAGTTTCTTTCATGCCAGTAAAGCAGGCATCCATCATGTATGGTCGGGTGTCCGTTTCAGCTGCTCTGAACCTGTTTTCTTCACAGGTTCACTGTGGACAAGGACCATTTGGTGGTGGCTGATGTAAGGGATGACGATGGTGGGACCTACACGTGTGTGGCCAACACAACTCTGGACAACGTTTCTGCCAGTGCTGTGCTGAGCGTTGTTGGTAAGAACTAGAACACACCCAGCGCTGCATGCTGCCTTGTGTTAGGTCAGAAGGAAAACTGTCCAGAGTAAATGTTTGCTTGTTACAGTTTTACAGTTTTGTAGGGGAATTAAATACCTACACTTTTCTTCTTTGAGAGACGCCTTTGAGGCAGTAATATCAGTATAAATATACTACTGTAGCAGCGCTGGAATAAAATGATGGTTGTGTGTATTAGTGATTTTTGTATAAGAAAATCGGGAGAAATAATGTACTTTGATTTAAGATTGAAGGTGTCCTGCCCCCCACGTTGTTACTGCATGTTTATCAATGCCGTGTCCCACAGCTCGCGTACAGCTCGGTTTTAGATCTTAATCATGGTCAGTCTTTGTCTTCTTGTGCTATTTTATATCTTTCCATGACTAATTTTGATTAAAATCCTTTATATTAATGTCCTTTCTAGCTCCTACTCCAACTCCAGCTCCTATTTACGGTAAACTAATATGAGTCTTCTTTCTCTATTTTCTGTCAAACAAGTTCACATGTGCAAATAATAATAATAATAAGTCCTCTCTTTTCTCTACCACATCATTGATTGTGTTGCTTTAAGGACAAGGGCTCTGTCCAGCGTTCTGTTCTGTTGCTTATTTACTGCCATAAATCATTTTCTTCATTATAGCTCTGGAATGTTTCACTGAGTGTAGTACCACTCATTGCCAAATATTTCATGTGTTATTATAAAGTCATTTCATTTGATAAAAGTCCCTCTTTGGTATAATTGCCTTGTAAAATAGCATCATGCTTTTTCAAAAGCAGTCCTCCACTGTTTCCAGAATGAAAAAAAAAACTATCTCAAAGATCATTCCACAAATCAGGTTTTTATTTCAGGCTTTTAAAAGTTGTTTTGGAAACGTGGACATGTTTTTTTTTTCCAGAAATTTACATAGGAAAACAGTGAATGTTTAGAACATTTGACCTTTGTATTAAAGAAAAACAACTCATTGCGTTAAAAAACATAAATCACTAAAGAAAGACCAAAAGGAGGGCACTTCCAGGTTGTGTGACTTTTCTGAGTCTGGAAAATAAATCAGAAATTATTTCCAGAACTCTTTTTGATTAAAGAAACTTCATCTTTATTCAGCCTATAAATACAAAAATTAATTTTATGGCATACACTCAGCTGGATTTTACATAGTGTCAGTAGTTAAGCTATAGAAGAACTGCCCTTGGTAGATGTTTACTGTTTCTTTACTGATAGGAAAGAAGTGCCCATATTTTTATATGGCTTCTGGTTCCCCAAGAGCCACAATCACTCCCAAGAGCAAGGTCAGGAAAAGCCCAGAGGGAAACGTTAACTCTCTGGATGTCAGACGTACCATTAGAAGAGGCAGACCATGCTTCCGGGACACCTTTGTCCCCACAGGTGTCTGTACCCTAGTGTCCTCTGGGAATAAACACACCATGTCCCCATGGGCCCGCCTGACTATTGTACTGAGCATCTGCATGAGGTATGCATGCTGAGAGCTACTTATATAGCATCAATCTTAGAATTCCCCTAAAAATATAAATATTCTCCAGGAGCTCCAAAATCTATAATTTCACATGTTTCAGAAAGAACATTGAGGTCTTCCTAAGCAGTACATTATATTTGCCTGTATTGGTCTTTTAGCGTTTGCTGTTCTGTCTCCCATTTATTAGAAATTAAGCTTCAATATTATTTTTTCTGTTTGTGCTCTTCATGTCTATGAGAAGACACATTGAGAGTGCTGGTGAACCATGTATGCCCACCTCACTGGTTTTGGTCACCAGTGATTTGGTTTCATTTGAAAAAGGAGCAAGTGGAAGCAAGCAAGAAAAGGAGCAAGCAAGACCTCCTCCTTGCTTGGAGGAGGTCTTGGGTGTGCTTGTGTGTTCCCAGCAACCTCAGTGGCTCCCATTTCATTTCAGATGCATGCTCATTAACCATTAAGTGTGCTATTTCTTTAAGATGCCCCCCACCCCCCACACCACCCCCAACTCCATCCCACCCCCACCCCCCATGAATAGTACCACGGGTAAAGGAGAACCTCATAAGAATGGATGGGTAACGGTGGTATGTGTGTTCGGTCTACAGATGTCCCAAATCCTCCCTTTGATTTAGAATTGACGGATCAACTCGACAAAAGTGTTCAGCTGTCATGGACGCCAGGCAATGACAACAACAGCCCTATTACAAGTATGTCATAGCCTTGTCTTTGTCACCGATACATTTCACCACCATTTCCCAAGCACTTTATCACATGCAATTGAAATTCCTTACAGAGATATTTGCTGGCATTCTCTGTTTCATTACTAATACAACAAAAACGTTGATCTATCACTCTCCTCTCTTCGGAGACTGAGTTATTCCTGCTTACTGCCTCTGGGATAGGACACCACTTAGTTGCCAAAGATGTGAACTAAGCAAATACACTTTCCTTTTGTGTATGCGATCTGTCAGAATCACCTTAAATCTCCCCCATAGTAGGATGATGCCTTGTAAGCTATTCATTTTGCGCATTAATGCGGGAGGAAAACACAGGAGGACCAGGCACTGGTCTGCCAGTGTGTGTGTTAGGAAACTGAGATTTGGTGAGTAAAGTGATTTTGCAGACCCACAGTTGGTCACAGAGCTGGGTGTGGACAGTAGGTCTATTACCTTCTAGTGTGGGCCTCTTTCCTCCCCTCAGCCCCTGCAAAAAGAGGCACATTCCATAGTGTCTGCTCCTCGCCATCAGGACATTAGCCTAGGGAGCAAAGTCAGGGGAGGGACCCCATTGTAAGGATACTGGAAGAGCTTCGTAAAATCAGACTCTAGAGGTGCTTAGACGTTTGACAACTGAAAAGATACTTGAGAGAGTATCACAAGCCTGTAATATATTATGACCTTCAGGCATATGCTGCAGGAAAGCTAAATTCCTTTCTGACAAGTACCTCAGATTACTCTGAAGTGATGTGTGTGTTGATTTCTTGCACCCACTGATAAAGCAGAGTATTTCCGATGAAATTCAGCAAAAACTTCCTCTCCATCTTGTGTTATTTCGAGGTGTTCTTCTCTCAGCTGAGTATTCGGTCCTTGCTCAGAACCCTTAATCATTCGTGCTGAGCCTTCCAGTTAATTCAATACAGTAGCCAGATTTAGCTGGTTAGGATGCGTGGAGACCCTTTGTACCTATATTTAAATGATACCATTAGATTCCAAAGCATTTCTACTCTTTCATTCATTCACTCATTCATTCAACAGATATTTATGGAGTGCCTATAATGTACCAGGCATTGTTCTAAAACAAAACAGTCAAAAATCTCTACCTACATGGAGCTTATATTTTAGCTGAGGACACAAATAAAATAATATTAATAATAATATATTATGCTGTTACATTTAATATCATTATATATGTGTGTGTATATATGTAAAATGCAATACACATTGTATATGCATATATATGTAGAACACACACACACACACACACACACTACTTAGATCTTCCTTCAGAAGAGGTGTTGACAGCAGTCTCCTTCTGCCCCTTCCCCAAGGATCTGCTGCAGTGTGCACATGAGGCCACACTCTTCCTGAGCTCCAGCAGCAACTAAGGGGTAGAGTGTGAACTGGGCAGGCCTTTTAGGCCATTGTAAGGGTTGGAAGTCATTGGAGGGAACTAAATAGAGGAGTGATTAATGGATCACTCTGGCTATTCTATTGAAAACGGTCTAGGGGCACCTGGGTGGTGCAGTCAGTTGAGCATCAGACTCTTGGTTTCGGCTCAGGTCATGATCTCAGGGTGGTGAGATTGAGCCCCGTGTCGGGCTCCGTGCTGAGTGCAGAGTCTGCTTGAGATTCTTTCTCCCTCTGCCCCTCCCGCTCATGCACGCACGTGTTCTCTCTCTCTCTCTCTCTCGCTCAAATAAATAAATCTTTAAAAAAAAAAGTGAAAATGGTCTATAGAAGAACAAGAGGGGAAGCAGGGAGACCAGGTAGGACCACAGTTCTCTGTGAAGTACCCTGTAGAACCTCAGCAAACTAACAAGGGTGCCTCAGGATATGTTTTAAGTTTTTGACTTTTAAATTTTGATGTTTAAAAAACAGTCACATCTGTCAGACGCCACATGAAGTACGAGATCAAGGCAGCTTACGGTTGCCCTACAATATTGTGGTACCATATTGTGATGATGCCGTGCCTGCAAAGCCTTTGCTGTGGTAAAAAGCAAGTACCGCATGAAAATCAGTGTGTAACAGGGAATGAGGAAGGTGGTATCTTAACAAGGTTCGAGAAGCTGTGCAGTGCCGAATAGGTTTTAAGTTGTGAAGGCATGAAAATTTATTAAGTTCTGTGGACCTAACCACTTACGTGGAAGTGTTAGATATTTCTTTTGGCCTAAGGAAACCATGAAGAAAATTACTGAGATGCTGCATGCACCATGAGCTGAGAAAATCTGGGAACTCATGAGCTGGGAGGTTTTGCAGTGATTCACAGGAGAGAGAGAGAGAGAGAACAGTGGCTTGGGTTAGGGCTGAGAGGGATGGAGGTGCTCAACAGTGGTCAGATTTTGCATGTTTTAAAGGTACAGCCAACAAAACTATGGAGAGTAGGAAACAAAGAGGGGATCTAAGACGGGCTTCAAGGTTTTGAGCTGAGTTGTCACTGCCAGCCGGGGAGGAAGATCGGGATCACTCCTGGCCGTAACCAGTGTGTCATGCTGTCAGAGAGAAGCAGATGGAGTTGTTGAGTCAATGAGCTGCCCAAGTGTGCAGTTCACGGGAGAGGCAGGGGCTGCCGAGAGATATGTGCAAGTCACCAGTTTATGGGACTGGAGATCACCAGCCAGTGAATGGAGATTGAAAGGCGAACTCAAGCTACTTAGCTTCAGAGCACTGGAACACAGAGCATTTCTACTTCGTCTTTGTATCTGTAATTCACATCACGGTACATGGGCACATTATAGGCAATTAGTAAATATCTAAATACCTATTTTTTTATGAGGGTAAACCATATACATGCCACAAATTTGTAGTAGATGCAAAAGGGTATGCACTAAAAAGTAAGTCTTCCTCCTACCTCTAACTCCCACTTTCTCCAAGACCCCAGTGTGTATCCTCCAGGAGGCAATACGTGTATATTCAAGGATATAGGTGTGTGTGTACATTACAGCCCATCTTTGTGCTCTTACCCAAGTGTTCCACACTGTTCTGTATCCTACTTGGTTACACTTAACAATGTAGTTCAGAAATCATTCCATTTCGGTGGCATACGGAGTAGCCCCCTTCAGTTTTTACAGCTGCAGAATATTCCACTGTGTGGATACACCATAATTTATTTGATCAGTGTCCTGGTGCTAAACATTTAGGTTGTTTGCAATTAGCTTGTTTCAGCTGCAAACAATGATGTAATGTGGATTCTTTTTCATGTGCCTCTGAGCATACGCATGAGCACATTTATTCAAAATAAATTGGTAGGAGTATCATTTCTCAATCAAAGGATATTTGAGTTGAATATTGTGAGGTGTTCTAAATTGTCCTCTATAGAAGTTGTGCCAATTTACACTTCCCAGGAAGAACGTAGGAGAATGCTTGTTTCCCTGTGTAATAGTCAATAAAGTATGTTGAACTTTTGATTGCTGCCAGTCTGTTTAGTGGAAAGTAGTATCTCACTATCTTTAATTTCTCCTATTATGAAAGAAAAAAAGAAACCCTAACCATCTTTTCATATATTGAAACTTTCCTAAGGATATGGAGACCACTTCTAAACAGATTTAAGTAACTCAACTCAGCATGCTAGAGAAAGAGTACTAAATATTATTGGGTATGCTTAAATATTGAGGATACTGATAGAACTCTTAAATCAAAATGTTCTTACAGAATTTTTCTTGAAAGTGAAATAATCAATGTTCAGCTACTCTTGTTAAATTGTTCTGTTCGTTATCCTCGAACCTACCCTTGGGTGGCTGACCTCACTGTCTTGGGTTCTGTGTGTGTGTGTCGTGGCCAGAATTCATCATTGAATATGAAGATGCAATGCACGAGGCAGGGCTGTGGCACCACCAAACCGAGGTTTCTGGAATGCAGACCACAGCCCAGCTGAAGCTGTCGCCTTACGTGAACTACTCCTTCAGAGTGATGGCCGTGAACAGCCTCGGGAGGAGCTTGCCCAGTGAGGCATCTGAACAGTATTTGACTAAAGCCGCAGGTAAAGTGAGGCTTCTGTGACAGGAAATGAAAAGTTTTCCACTGTTTAAAAAAAAAAAGATCCAAACTTACACATATGTGGCTGCTTAACTTCCAGAACCTGATACAAATCCCACAGCTGTGGAAGGACTGGGATCAGAGCCTGATAATTTGGTGATTACCTGGAAGGTGAGCTCAGCATGAAGGCTTCAGCTTTTCTCAGTGTATCTTAGAGTGGGGGGGGGGAAGTGTTTTTAAACAATGTCTGTATTGGGGCGTATGGATGGCTCAGTTGGTTAAGCATCTGACTCTTGATTTCGTCTCTGGTCACGGTTTCAGGGTCATGAGACTGAACCCTGCATCGAGGGGCTGCTTGCAATTCTCCCTCTCCCTCTGCCCTCCACCCTCCCACTTGGGTGCTCGCTCTCTCTCTCCCTCTACAAACAATGTCTGTATTAAAATCCCATTTCATCCATTTGGGGGAAAAATATGTATTATATCTCTTTCTTTAAGAGATATTATTGTGTAGCAGTTAAAAGCTTAATCCTTGGAGCCCAAATGAATGGATGCAAATCCCAGCTTTGCCACTCACGGTGTGACTTTAAGCCAGTTGCTTAACATCACCATTATGTATCTGTATGATGGGACTAGTCATAGAACCAACCTCACACAATTCAAGGAATAAATACATAGAGGCCCCTAGAACAGTGCCTAGCACATATATGTGCTCAACAAATGCTAGCTGGTATTATCATCATCATAGAGAACCATCTAGAAGATGTACCAAGCTGTACATCTTGGTACAAGATGTATAAGACCTGTACCAAGCTATTCCAAGTAGTCAACTTCTTCTTCTGCCTCTGCTTTTCTCTCTTTTTTCTGGTTTATTCATATTTTCTGGATTTGGAAAATTAACATATATTCACTTGGGTGATTTTAAAACTTATTTTAATAGACCTATGCATGCACACTTATATGCATACGTACTTGTACATATTTATATACATACTGACGTGTAAAACAGGATAGACTGACAAGCCAATGTTTTTTTAAGATTTTATTTTAAGTACTCTCTACACCCACTGTGGGGCTTGAACCCACAACCCTGAGATCAAGAGTTCACACGCTCCTCCGACAGAGCCAGCCAGGTGCCCCAACAAGCCAACTTTTTTTTTTTTTTTTAATAAAGAAAGAAGCAGTTCACAAGCTTCTGGCTCTAAGTAAAATAGACAATGATGTACTGTCACACAGACAGGGATATATAAAGGAAACTGTGTAACTGAAATGCTCTAAGTCACCCACCCTTGACTGTGGAGCCAAGTTTGAGAGGCTTATGTGGTATGTACAACTTCAAGATAGAAATTAACAACCTTTGAAATGTTGATCCCAAACAAGCTTTGAATCTCATCACGAATGAAAAAAAAAAGATAAAAGGTCCCTGGAAGGCATTGTTAATAGCTAGCATTTTAGCATTTCAGTGCTCACTTTCCTTAAGTCTGGAAATTAAATTTTGGTGTTCCGGGGAGAAGGTTGCTCAGTCTGTCTGTTTTATAAGCTCTGATTATTTGGCTTTTCTTACAGCCCTTGAATGGTTTCGAATCTAACGGTCCAGGCCTTCAGTACAAAGTGAGCTGGCGCCAGAAAGATGGTGACGATGAATGGACGTCTGTGGTGGTGGCAAATGTATCCAAATATATTGTCTCGGGCACACCAACCTTCGTTCCATACCTGATAAAAGTGCAGGCCCTGAATGACGTGGGGTTTGCTCCAGAGCCAGCCGTGGTCATGGGGCATTCTGGAGAAGACCGTAAGTGTTCAATGCTGTTTCAGTGATACTTTCCTTTATACCAGCAACACAGACTTACCAAGGTGCAAGCCAAGGCCATGTCCAGGGGGTGCGTAGACTAGGAGGGACGGAGGTGGCAATTATTTTGCTGAACATTCCTGAATGCAAACAGCCTGCTATGTAAAAAATAGGTTGAGAATGTCAAGTGTCGTTACTTTTAAAAAGATACATTATTCTCACCAAGTCAGATGAACAGATACCAAAAAAAAAAAAAAAATCTACTCTCAATCCTTGATAATCCGTAGAATAAAGCTGGGTCATACGTCAAGCGAAAATTGTTAGTGGCATTTTTGCATGAAATTGCAAAATAACGTTGATACTTCTGCCCCCTTTCCTGTTTTTCCCTAGTCCCAATGGTGGCTCCCGGAAATGTGCATGTGAACGTGGTCAACAGTACCTTAGCTGAGGTGCACTGGGACCCCGTACCTCTGAAAAGTATCCGAGGACACCTGCAAGGCTATCGGGCAAGTGAAGGGAGATTTTTTTGCTTTTTTTCTGTAGGAACAGACCTTCAGCGAATGCCAGATGCACTTCTTTTGATCAGAGGCCTTGAGAATTCATCTGGTTTATCACCTCAGACAGGCCATGTCTCAAGAACCCCAGCTAGAGCAGAAGCAAAACCTCACTGCATCCAAAGTGGTGGTGGGGGGTGGCGTGTAAGAAAGTTTTTCTCCATTTTTCCCCACAGATGGCCTAAAATTCTTCCAGCTAAACAATTAACAGAGGCACAAAGTGGGGAAAATTAGTGTTTAAAAAACAAAAATACAACCAAATGCACCTAGCTTTAAAGCAATACTGACCACATGTGTTAAACACACAAAATTGTCCTGAAAATAATGTAGGCATTTTTTTTAAAAAATCATTCAGATTATACTTCAAACTCATATAGTCCCAACAGGGTCATTCTTTTTTTTTTATTGTTATGTTAATCACCATATATTACATCATTAGTTTTTGATGTAGTGTTCCATGATTCATTGTTTGTGCATAACACCTGGTGCTCCACACAGAACGTGCCCTCTTTAATACCCATCACCGGGCTAACCCATCCCCCTACCCTCCTCCCCTCTAGAACCCTCAGTTTGTTTTTCAGAGTCCATTGTCTCTCATGGTTCGTCTCCCCCTCTGACTTACTCCCCTTCATTCTTCCTCTCCTGTTATCTTCTTCTTTTTCTTTTTTCTTAAAATATGTTGCGTTATTTGTTTCAGAAGTACAGATCTGTGATTCAACAGTCTTGCACAATTCACAGCGCTCACCGTAGCACATACCCTCCCCAATGTCCATCACCCAGCCACCCCATCCCTCCCACCCCCAACCACTCCAGTAACACTCAGTTTGTTTCCTGAGATTAAGAATTCCTCATATCAGTGAGGTCATATGATACATGTCTTTCTCTGATTGACTTATTTCACTCAGCATAAGACCCTCCAAATCCATCCACGTTGTTGCAAATGGCAAGATCTCATTCCTTTTGATGGCTGCATAATATTCCATTGTGTATATATACCACATCTTCTTTAGCCATTCATCTGTCGATGGGCATCTTGGCTCTTTCCACAGTTTGGCTATTGTGGACATTGCTGCTATAAACATTGGGGTGCACATACCCCTTCGGGTCCCTACATTTGTATCTTTGTGGTAAATACCCAGTAGTGCAATTGCTGGATCGAATGGTAGCTCTAATTTCAACTGTTCGAGGAACCTCCATACTGTTTTCCAGAGTGGTTGCACCAGCTTGCATTCCCACCAACAGTATAGGAGGGTTCCCCTTTCTCCACATCCCCGCCAACATCTGTCGTTCCCTGACTTGTTAATTTTAGCCATTCTGACGGGTGTGAGGTGGTATCTCATTGAGGTTTTGGTTTGGATTTCCCTGATGCCGAGCGATGTTGAGCACTTTTTCATGTGCCTGTTGGCCATTTGGATGTCTTCTTTGCAAAAATGTCTGTTCATGTCTTCTGCCCATTTCTTGATTGCATTATTTGTTCTTTGGGTGCTGAGTTTGATAAGTTCTTTATAGATTTTGGATACTAGCCCTTTATCTGATATGTCATTTGCAAATATTTTCTCCCATTCTGTCGGTTGTCTTTTGGTTTTGTGGACTGTTTCTTTTGCTGTGCAAAAGCTTTTTATCTTGATGAAATCCCAATACTTCATTTTTGCCCTGGCTTCCCGTGCCTTTGGCAATGTTTCTAGGAAGAAGTTCCTGCGGCTGAGGTCGAAGAGGTTGCTACCTGTGTTCTCCTTTAGGATTTTGATGGACTCCTGTGTCACGTTTAGGTCTTTCAACCATTTGGAGTCTATTTTTGTGTGTGGTGTAAGGAAATGGTCCACTTTCATTCTTCTGCATGTGGCTGTCCAATTTTCCCAACACCATTTGTTGAAGAGACTGTCTTTTTTCCATTGGACATTCTTTCCTGCTTTGTCAAAGATAAGTTGACCATAGAGTTGAGGGTCCATTTCTGGGCTCCCTATTCTGTTCCATTGATCTATGTGTCTGTTTTTGTGCCAGTACCATACTGTCTTGATGATGACAGCTTTGTCATAGAGCTGGAAGTCCGGAATTGTGATGCCGCCAGCTTTGCTTTTCTTTTTCAAGATTCCTCTGGCTATTCGGGGTCTCTTCTGGTTCCATAGAAATTTTAGGATTATTTGTTCCATTTCTTTGAAAAAAGTGGATGGTATTTTGATGGGGATTGCATTGAATGTGTAGATTGCTCTAGGTAGCATTGACATCTTCACAATGTTGATTCTCCCAATCCATGAGCATGGAACGTTTTTCCATTTCTTTGTGTCTTCTTCAATTTCTTTCATGAGTATTTTATAGTTTTCTGAGTACAGATCCTTTGCCTCTTTGGTTAAATTTATTCCTAGGTATCTTATGGTTCTGGGTGCAATTGTAAATGGGATCGACTCCTTGATTTGTCTCTCTTCTGTCTTGTTGTTGGTGTATAGGAATGCCACTGATTTCTGTGCATTGATTTTATATCCTGCTACTTTACTGAATTCCTGTATGAGTTCTAGCAGTTTTGGGGTGGAGTCTTTTCGGTTTTCCACATAAAGTATCATATCATCTGCAAAGAGTGAGGGTTTGACTTCCTCTTTGCCGATTTGGATGCCTTTGATTTCTTTTTGTTGTCTGATGGCCGTGGCTAGGACTTCTAATACTATGTTGAATAGCAGTGATGAGAGTGGACATCCCTGCCGTGTTCCTGACCTTAGGGGAAAAGCTCTCAGCCTTTCCCCATTGAGAATGATATTCGCTGTAGGGTTTTCATAGATGGCTTTTATGATATTGAGGTATGTACCCTCTATCCCTATACTCTGAAGAGTTTTGATCAAGAAAGGATGCTGTACTTTGTCAAATGCTTTTTCTGCATCTATTGAGAGGATCATATGATTCTTGTTCTTTCTTTTGTTAATGTATTGTATCACATTGATTGATTTGCGGATGTTGAACCAGCCTTGCCACCCAGGGATAAATCCCACTTGGTCGTGGTGAATAATCCTTTTAATGTACTGTTGGATCCTATTGGCTAGTATTTTGGTGAGAATTTTTGCATCCATGTTCATCAAGGATATTGGTCTGTAATTCTCCTTTTTGATGGGGTCTTTGTCTGCTTTTGGGATCAAGGTAATGGTGGCCTCATAAAATGAGTTTGGAAGTTTTCCTTCCATTTCTATTTTTTAGAACAGTTTCAGGAGAATAGGTATTAATTCTTCTTTAAATGTCTGCTAGAATTCCCCTGGGAAGCCATCTGGCCCTGGGCTTTTGTTTCTTGGGAGACTTTTGATGACTGCTTCAATTTCCTTAGTGGTTATAGGTCTGTTCAGGTTTTCTATTTCTTCCTGGTTCAATATTGGTAGTTGATAGATCTCTAGGAGTGCACCCATTTCTTCCAGGTTATCTAATTTGCTGGCATAGAGTTGCTCGTAATATGTTCTTATAATTGTTTGTATTTCTTTGGTGTTGGTTGTGATCTCTCCTCTTTCATTCATGATTTTGTTGATTTGGGTCATTTCTCTTTTCTTTTTGATAAGTCTGGCCACGGGTTTATCAATCTTGTTAATTCTTTCAGAGAACCAGCTCCTAGTTTCGTTGATCTGTTCTACTGTTCTTTTGGTTTCTAGTTCATTGATTTCTGCTCTGATCTTTATTATTTCTCTTCTCCTGCTGGGTTTAGGCTTTATTTGCTATTCTTTCTCCAGCTCCTTTAGGTGTAGGGTTAGGTTGTGTATTTGAGACCTTTCTTGTTTCTTGAGAAAGGCTTGTATTGCTATATACTTTCCTCTCAGGACTGCCTTTGCTGTATCCCAAAGATTTTGGACAGTTGTGTTTTCATTTTCATTGGTTTCCATGAATTTTTTTAATTCTTCTTTAATTTCCTGGTTGACCCATTCATTCTTTAGTAGGATGCTCTTTAGCCTCCATGTATTTGAGTTCTTTCCAACTTTCCTCTTGTGATTGAGTTCTAGTTTCAAAGCATTGTGGTCTGAAAATATGGAGGGAATGATCCCAATCTTTTGGTACTGGTTGAGACCTGATTTGTGACCTAGGATGTGATCCATTCTGGAGAATGTTCCATGGGCACTAGAGAAGAATGTGTATTCCGTTGCTTTGGGATGGAATGTTCTGAATATGTCTGTGAAGTCCATTTGGTCCAGTGTGTCCTTTAAAGTCTTTATTTCCTTGTTGATCTTTTGCTTAGATGATCTGTCCATTTCAGTCAGGGGGGTGTTAAAGTCCCCCACTATTATTGTATTGTTGTCAATGTATTTCTTCGCTTTTGTTATTAATTGCCTTATAAAAGTGGCTGCTCCCATGTTTGGGGCATAGATATTTACAATTGTGAGATCTTCTTGTTGGATAGACCCTTTAAGTAGGATATAGTGTCCTTCCTCATCTCTTATTACAGTCTTTGGTTTAAAATCTAGTTTGTCTGATATAAAGATTGCCACCCCAGCTTTCTTTTGGTGTCCATTATCATGGTAAATGGTTTTCCACCCCCTCACTTTAAATCTGGGGGTGTCTTTGGGTCTAAAATGAGTGTCTTGCAGACAGCATATTGATGGGTCTTGTTTTTTAATCCAATCTGATAGCCTGTGTCTTTTGATTGGGGCACTTAGCCCATTTACATTCAGGGTAACTATTGAAAGGTATGAATTTAATGCCGTTGTATTGCCTGTAAGGTGACTGTTACTGTATGTTGTCTGTGTTCCTTTCTGATCTTTGCTGCTTTTAGGCTCTCTCTTTGCTTAGAGGACCCCTTTCAATATTTCTTGGAGGGCTGGTTTTGTGTTTGCAAATTCCTTTAGTTTTTGTTTGTTCTGGAAGCTTTTTATCTCTCCTTCTATTTTCAATGACAGCCTAGCTGGATATAGTATTCTTGGCTGCATATTTTTCTCGTTTAGTGCTCTGAAGATATCTTGCCAGTCCTTTCTGGCCTGCCAGGTCTCTGTGGATAGGTCTGTTGCCAATCTAATGTTTCTACCATTGTAGGTTACATATCTCTTCTCCCGAGCTGCTTTCAGGATTTTCTCTTTGTCTCTGAGACTCGTAAGTTTTACTATTAGATGTCGGGGTGTTGACCTATTTTTATTGATTTTGAGAGGGGTTCTCTGTGCCTCCTGGATTTTGATGCCTGTTTCCTTCCTCACATTAGGGAAGTTCTCTGCTATTATTTGCTCCAATATACCTTCTGCCCCTCTCTCTCTCTCTCTTCTTCTTCTGGGATCCCAATTATTCTAATGTTGTTTTGTCTTATCGAATCACTTATCTCTCGAATTCTGCCCTTGTGATCCTCTTGTTTCTCTCTCTTTTTCTCAGCCTCTTTACTTTCCATCATTTGGTCTTCTATATCACTGATTCTCTCTTCTGCCTCATTTATCCTAGCATTTAGTGCCCCCATTTTTGATTGCACCTCATCAATAGCCTTTTTGATTTTGACTTGGTTAGATTTTAGTTCTTTTATTTCTCCAGAAAGGGTTTCTCTAATAACTTCCATGCTTTTTTCAAGCCCAGCTAGTATCTTTAAAGTCATGATTCTGAACTCTAGGTCCAACATCGTACTAATGTCCGTATTGAGTAGGTCCCTGGCTGACGGTACTACCTCTTGTTCTTTTTGCTGAGGTGATTTTTTTCGTCTTGTCATTTTGTCCAGAGCAGAATAGATGAATGAGAGAACAAAATGCTAACAGGTTTACAACGTCCCCAGCAAATATACTCTATACAAATCAGAAAAGACCTGAAACCAGGGGAAAAGAAAGGGAAAGAAAGAAAAAAGAAAGAGAAAAAAAAAGAAAAAAAAGATAACAACAAAAACAGAACAATACAAATAAAGCAGAATATGATCAAATATGATCAGGTTAGTGCGTAGATTAGTGCCACACACTAGATTTTGGGCGTATTTTGGTCTGTTAGAAAAAAGTGCCTCCTAAAATTTTAAAGGAAGAAAGACATAAATGTACAAAATAAGGGTTGATACAATGAAGGGATGGAAGATGAGTGTAAAGATGAAAATTATAAAAGATTTTATAAAAGGACTTGATAAGATGTTTGAAAAAAGAAAGAAGATTTAAGGAAAAAAAAAAAGGAAAAAGGGAGAGAATGTGATCAGGCAGGAGACTAGAACAAAGCCATACACTAGTGATTTAGGGTATATTTTGATCTGTTAGAAGAAACTGTACCTCAAAATTTTGAAGAGAGAACAACTTATATATATATGCCAAAAATAAGGGTAACTACTATGAAGGGATAAAATATGACTCTAAAAATGAAAAATAAAAAAAATTTTTTTTTAAAAAGGGATTGATAAGATGTTGGTTGAAAAAGGGAAAAAGAAAAATAAAAAAAAACAGTTAACAAAAATTAACTTTGATGAACTAATGAATCATGGTAAAAAAAAAAGCCATGAATTCTATGTGCAGTATTCCCCTAGCGCTGGAGTTCTCCCGTTCTCCTTGTTCTCCTTGTTCGGTAAACTTGGTCTTGGCTTGCTGGCTGTTCGTGCTGATCTTCTGGGGGAGGGGCCTGTTGCTGTGGTTTCCAAATGTCTTTGCCGGAGGCTGAATTGCCCCGCCCTTGTCGGTCCGGGCTAAGGAAGCTGCTCGGGTTTGCTCTCAGGAGCTTTTGTTCCCTGCAAGCTCTCGGTACAGCTTTGGAGGACCAGGGCAAAAATGGTGGCCTCCCAATCTTCATCCGGAGGAGCCGAGAATTTGGGGCCCCACTCCTCAGTGTGTCCCCAGAGAAAAGCAGTCACTCCCGTCTCCCCGGTCTCCGGCCGCACTCCGTGCTCACCCGGCCTGTGACCGAGTGTTTCTATCTCTGGCACCCGATCCCGTGTGGAGTCTCCAAACCCAGCAGATCCCTGCGGTGTGTTCCCGCGCCGCTCCTCTCCGGGAAGGAAGGGGAGTCTCCCCGGATCTGCTGCTTGTTGGGTCCCTGCTGGAGGAGCAGTGGCCCGACTGGGCCGCGGATCACAGTTTATGGCAACCCCGAGCTGAGAGCCCGCGCCTTGGCTCTGTCTCTGCAGCCGGCTTCCCCGCTCCGATACCTGGGAGCTCTGCCACACTCAGGCACCCCCGGTCTCTCTGTGACCCCAAGGGTCCTGAGATCACACTGTTCCGGGAGGATTCCACCCCCTGCTTAGCCACTGCAGCGACGTCCCTCAGCCGAGCTGACTTCTAAAAGTTCCGATTTTGTGCTCCGCGGCTCTATCACTTGCCAGAAGCGGCCAGCGGAGGCCCCTCCCCCACCGTCTATCCTCCCGAATATCGCCTCGGATTCACTTCTCCACACGTCCTACCTTCCAGTAAGTGGTCGCTTCTCTGTTCAGAGAATTGTTGCTACTCTCCTCTTCGATCTCCTGTTGAGTTCGTATGTGTTCAGAATGGTTTGATCCCTATTCAGCTGAATTCCTGAGACCAGAGGAAATCTAGGTCTCCTACTCCTCCGCCATCTTGCTCCGCCTCCCAGGGTCATTCTTATGACCATCATTTATCTTTGTTCTTGGGAAGCACGGAAAGACTGATGCGTAGAGATTTGTGATGGATGTGCCAGGAACTGGTTTTGCACCCACAAAGAAAGTCATGGCTCTGGTTCCTTTACACTGACCCCCTAGAGATCCCTTTTGGTACTGTATCATATTCTGTGCGGGGATTTTTTTCTCTAACATTGCCAGATTCTGGATATATGTTGACTTCTCTTTAAACTTCTAAGGAGAATTTAAGAGAACTTATTAAATAGCAATTCTGGGTTTTTAGCCAAAGGTAATCGACCCTTTGCTTACCCATCTTTCCAAAACCTGTGCCTGCCATTTAATACAAAAAAAAAAAGTATTTTTAACGAAGTGATGCAGTTTGGCTTAGTAAGAAAGCCCTAGACTTGGCGTGGAGGATCCACTGTGGCTTTTGATTGCCCAGTGGCTAGGGGCAAGCCACTCAGAGGTCCGGGGTTCATCTGTGCTAAAGGAATAATAATAATAAAAGCTTCACCGTGGCTTTTAAGATTAAACTAAATGATATATCGTGCGTGACATTGTATTAGCTCTGGAGGAGTATGTAAATACTGGCCAGTTATTTTTGTTTTTAGAATATTTTATATAAGTAAGATGCTTCAATCGTGCCATCATCTTCCATTCCCTTATGTTCTAGAGAGATCTGTGTGGGTGTCATGCTGTTCCATTTATTTCACTCACGCTCCTCCAACCCAGTAGTCTAAAGCCCAGCTGCATCACATATTCTCAATTCCATTTCCCTCATTATGTTTAGGTTTCTACTGTCTTGCCTCATAATCAATATCTCTCAGTTTTGCCAGGAATCTTCTTCTAAAATGCACCAAGGACATTATCTAGGATACAGCCATAAGACTTGAATCTCGTGAGCAGGAGGAATCTTGTTTGCTCCCTTACCTGTCCCTGACTTTTGCCCGTACTCTTTCAGATTTACTACTGGAAGGCACAGAGTTCATCTAAGAGAAACAGACGTCACCTTGAGAAGAAGATCCTCACTTTCCAGGGCAGCAAGACTCACGGCATGCTGCCTGGGCTGGAGCCCTTCAGCCACTACACATTGAACGTCCGCGTGGTCAACGGGAAAGGGGAGGGCCCGGCCAGCCCCGACAGAGTCTTTAATACTCCAGAAGGAGGTAGGGGGCGGACATGACTGAGATCCTAGAACATATGGCACATCCTGAGAGGCTTTGCATTATAGAAGGGGCCCCACAAAGCTGGCGTCTGTCAGCTTGTATGTGGCCCGAGGGTATGTGGGAGGCTTCACAGTGCAAAATGCTGCCCCAAGCCATCCTCTCCTGACTTAAGTTTTCCTCCCCACTTAGTCACACTGTCAGAAACCTTGCTAATTTGATATTTATTTGGGTCATTAACTTTCTGATCTGCAGGGAGTTCTGTAACTTCTCTAACCCTCGGTTCCTTCATCTGAAAAGCATGAGCACTGATGTGATAACCTAAGAAAAGCACCTGGGAAGAAAAATAATCCTGTCATTTGTAGTTGACTTCTTTCCCAGTGCACCTTCATCGTTTCTGCTGAAGTTGAGATGAGGTAGAAGGTTGGAAGTCTTGACAAAATGGGTTGGGAAGAAAAGGAAAAGCACTGCAAGAAGGGGCCATTGCAAGGGGAGGGGGAAGGAGGATCAAATATCCATGGATGCAGGGGTGGAGCGCAAGGCATTTGGACCCAGCGACACAGAGCCTAGCAGATGAGGGAGAGAGGGACAGTAGAGTAAGAAAGATAAGGATTCATCCATTTGAATTTTGCTTCAAGCCCGTATTAAAAATGAGCCAGATAACTTCTGTGGATTCCTTAGGTCTTTTTGATACAAGTAGTTCTCAGACAAACTGGGTCCTGGCTCCTTTGAAGGGCTCACGATGTTGGCACCTGCCCATCATCCTCCGAGGGTCATCCTGTGTCCCACTCCCATCCTATGGCAATTGCTTGTCCTCAGTCTGTTGCTCCTTCAGAGGTTGAAGGCTTCTTCCTCTTGAGGCTTTCACTAGTGAAACCTCACTGCTCCTTGAGATGGTTCAGGGAAGGTGTCATAGTAGAGATGACCAGCGAATTAAAAGGTAAAGAAGAGAGGAAGTAGTATGTCCACACACATGATGGTATGAAACAATATGGCTCCTTCTCCTTCAAGAACTATAAGTCATGTAGCCAGGAATGGTGAGGAAAGAGAGGAAGGTGAGCAAGGGAGGACCCATACCATGGATGGTCTTACATGCTATGGGTATTAACCTGGAAGCCAGAGGCTCTTAACCTGAAGACTGTAGTCTCCTAGGAGGTCAGTAAATGGGTTTAGGGAGATCCATGAACCCCCTAACTTTATTTTTTTTATTTTTTAAAGATTTTATTTATTTTTTGACAGAGAGAGACACAGGGAGAAAGGGAACACAGCAGGGGGAGTGGAAGAGGGAGAAGCAGGCTTCCCGTGGAGCAGGGAGCCCAATGTGGGGCTTGATCCCAGGACCCTGGGATCATGATCTGAGCTGAAGGCAGATGCTTAACGACTGAGCCACCCAGGCGCCCCATGAACCCCCTAACTTTATATGCAATATGTGTTTACTTCTCTGGGGAGAGTTTTTGGCTATTGTCACATTCTGAGAGGAGTGGCTTAGGGAAGCTGAGAACCATGTGCCAGGACTCAGGCACAGGCCACTGAGGGCCTCAAGTGGGGCAGTGGTAGAGAGGAGAGTAGGGAATGGATATGGTTGAGATGTACGAGGTGAAACTGACAGGATGTAGTGTCCCAGGAGATGGAGGAAATGAGGCAGAGGGAGAAATTCGGGTTGACTCCTTGGTTTCTGGCTAGAGTGACGGGAGAGACAGGGGTGCCATTAATGGGCCTAGGAAATGTGGGTGTGTAGAAAAGCTAGTGACCGTGAGGAAGAGCTGCCTCCATCCATCATCCTCATGAGGAAATTAATAAAAGAAGACCAGGCATTTGTCCTCTGGTCACATATGGCCAGCCTCAGCCATAGTGGACCTGACACCCTGTGGGTCGTCCCCAGAGTTTGGTGGGGCGGGGGGTGGGGGGGGGTCTGCCAGCACCGCAGCTTTTGTTCATCACCACGAGATTCTGGGCGTCTGTCAGCTCTCCAGATAAGAACCACTCTGCACCTGGGCAGGCTGGCTCATGCCCAGAGCCCAGCAGGCAGGGTGTTCTGGCTGCTTGGAGACACCTGATTTGTTGGAGAAAACAGTTCTTAATAGCCCAGAACACAGCTGCATCTACCCAAAGGTCTGGTTAGAATAGTTTCACCAGTTTGCTTTTATTAAGACACCATTCACAAAACAAGTACCGTCTCTTTTAAAAATATTGGTTTGGATTCATCTAAAGGCAAAGTCTTTATGTATTTTGGAGGATGGCTTTAATGAGTCTAAATGGAAATGATGAGAAAAAAGAGGACGAGATTAGCTGGATGGTTTCTCATCACAGGTTTCTGGTAGTGTATTTTTGTCTGAATCGGGAGCAAGAGTGGGTTACAGAAAACCTTGGTAAATGGTGTGAACATGGTGTAGCACATCACCTGAATACATTCTGAAACATCCAAAAACCCTTTTGTTGACTCTGTGTTCTCACTCCAAGTCCCCAGTGCTCCATCCTCTTTGAAGATTGTTAACCCAACACTAGACTCCCTCACTCTGGAATGGGACCCACCGAGCCGCCCGAATGGCATTTTGACTGAATACACCTTAAAATATCAGCCAAGTAAGTTACTGTGAGAAGGAAAGGGGAGAATATGATTTCAAAAGGAAAAAAACTTAGCTGTTTCCTTAAAATGCAAACTGGTTATTTCTTTAGTGCTGTAGAATATATGCATATACCTTCAGGTGGTGTTCTAGAAGGAACTTCACATCAGACTTTCTAAAGACATATATGCTGTTGAAAATCGAAAATCAAGCAGTCTGTAGAATCCTACAGACCTTTGACCATGGGGTGGATGCTGTTGTTAGATTAGGTAGGCATTAGTTATCTGTAACTAGAAAATGGTAAAAAAAAAAAGAAGAAAAGAAAAAAGAGAAAAAGAGGGGTTCCTTTGGCACAAGACCTCTGAGGATGAGGTTTGGGGTTATCAGTACATGACACCACCTGCAAAAACACAGAGAAAAGAAATACTATTGGAATCCACCCATAAAATTCGCCTCACTTATAAGCGGGTGGGGACTATATCTCCCCCTGTTTTGCGATCATGTAGAAGCTGTAAACGGCTAACGACAGTTATGTCAGGCAAGGAGTGAATGGATTACATTACACAGGGAATGTAATCCAAGTTTGACATTTTTGCTTGACACATTTATTTGTAATAGTATTCCTACAGCAATTAATGGGGAATGCACTTCTCTGTTGTCTCTTATTGCCAGTTAACAGCACCCACGAATTAGGCCCCCTGGTGGATCTGAAAATTCCTGCCAACAAGACACGCTGGACTTTAAAAAATTTAAATTTCAGCACTCGGTACAAGTTTTATTTCTATGCACAAACAGCAGCAGGATCTGGAAGTCAAATAACAGAGGAGGCGGTGACAACTGTGGATGAAGGTAAGATGCATATGTATAAAATTGACGGAACTCTTAGGTGTCACGAGACCAGGGCCTTTGACCTGAGTGCATGCCTTCTCTTTCCTTGTGGAGGATCCATCTTACCCACCTAATGCGAACGCTTGTTTGTAATTTCCCATCCTGACATCTATAGAGTCAATTATTTAATTCATGTTAGGATAACTATTGGATATTTGTTTTCCAAGTCTGTGTGAAATTTTTAAACTGGCATTAAAATGTTGAGTTGAGAGTGGGAAGTTACAGTATTTTGCCACCCAGGAAGGCAGAGTTCAAGGCAATGTGTTTTCCTGTCTACAACTTAACATGTGTGTACATACACACGTACATACACATGCATGTGATACACACATGTATGCGTACACCGCCACACATATCCTTGTGCAAATACATAGATGTAATTCTAGTCCTGGTCTTGAGACACCAGAAGATAGTTTGCTAGGCCACGTACTGGTTGAGGATTTCTAGCAAGGAATATGAAACACTAATGAAATAGTGCATTTGTTTTGTGTTTGAGCACGGGACTTTGTATTTTGGTATGCCGTCTGGTACAGAGAAAGCAAAATAGTCCCATTAGAGTATCAAGAAAAGGAATTAATACTTCCTTCCCGACTTTAAAAAAAATTATTTTGAAAAAATTTTGATTTGATGAAAATGTCCAAAAATTTTACAAAAGATTTTCTGATTTTGCATGTCACTAAATTGTAGAATTTCTTGAAGGTTATTTATTCGATTATCTTCCCTAGCATGAGGAATTGACATTTCTACCCAAAAATTGGTTTGAAATACCCTAAGCCTTGTTCCATAAGAGGGAAATATGATAATGCACCCTAAGGAATGTGTGTATTTGATTGCTGGGTAAGCTTGGTAACACCTGGTAACACCCAGGTAACACCTGGGTAACACCAACATATCTCTGTCCCCTGTACCTGATGTGGGACACTTCATTCTTCTTGCATGCTTTGGCATTTTAATAAGTGTTTTTATATCGCTTTACATGCTCATGAGTGTGTTACATCTAACTATATAGTGTCCTATTTCTGTTTCCCTTCATTAAAGCTGGTATTCCTCCACCTGATGTAGGTGCAGGCAAAGGTAAAATCATTCATCTGCATGACTTTATACATGTGTGAAATTTGCAATGTTAAACATGGCGAAGTGCAGCATGGGTTAAAAAAAAAAAAAGATATAAAATGAGCTTTGAAACACCAAATGGAAGAGAAGATCTTGGAAGATCTTGGCTTGAAAATTCATGTCTAGTCTTTTCCACAAGTAGAAAGCCACACACTGAATTCTACTAACCCTTCTTCACAAGACCCATCCCTGGAACAAACCCTCATCTTCACTTTTAATGACGGGATTGGGGCTGGATCAGACAGGACCCAAACTGTCACACATCCTCTCTGTGGCCACACCACATGCTCAGGGTTCAGAAATATTCCTCCTGTTCTGCAAACAACCTATAAGAACTCAATCAGCCGAGCTCTCCATTCTCATCTGATTTAGCCCTACTCCTTGTAGACACAGTGTCCTCTTTGCTGACACGACACCACACTGTCCATTCAGAGTTCCGGCTTAGTGATGCCCTCTAACTGGCCCTGAACCCACGGTATCCCCACCAGGATCCCTCTGAGCAAGTCTCCCTGTCAGCCTGCATGCTCTACCCAGTTGTGTGAATCCATCCTGTCTTCACCACACCGCACACATCTCTTCCCCCTGGGGCATAGTGGAGTACTTTTGTTCTCCTTTGTCTCTCTCAGCTCTCTGGGTGAGAAAGGTGTGTTGGGAGAGCAGTGCTTAAATCCACTGGGATAGGCCCTCCCGCCTGAGGCAGTCCCGAAGATCCTCCTCCATCCCCTTGGCCCTTGTTGATCTGTTAGCTTTTTCAAGAGCTGGGAGTCCCAGCCACAGGGCACTGTTTTCCTGTGGCGTCCCCCTGGCCAGGGGTGGTCTTGGACTTTGACAGACTTGAGTACAAATAGGAATGAAGAAGAAGACCAAGAGAAAGAAGTGCCTTGCCCGAAATTACTCAGATCTTGTGCGAGTACACCTGATTCAGACCTTTTTTTTTTTTAGAAATCTGCTTATATTCATAGCCTTGGTAAATAATAAACTGTAGGGCACCTGGGTGGCTCAGTTGGTTAAGCGACGGCCTTCGGTTCAGGTCATGATCCCGGAGTCCCGGGATCGAGTCCCACATCGGCCTCCCTGCTCAGCAGGGAGCCTGCTTCTCCCTCTAACCCTACCCCCTCTTGGGCTCTCTCTCTCTCTCACTCTCTCTCTGAAATAAAATCTTTTAAGAAATAATAATAATAAACTGTAGATCAAATAGATTTTGAAGTGACTGAATACAATAGCCACGTTCACTAATCTTAATGTTATCTGTGTGCTTTGAGTCTTGAAAGAACGAAGCTGGGAAAATTCAAAATTTCCACAGTATGGTAGAAAGATATAAGCCTCCCCCTTACATGTATGCGCTTTGCCCCGCTTAATTAGATATCAATTAAAGTCCTTGGTTGTGTTACAGTAATTCCCTGCTATGTTCCCCTGGTAACCTTTCACTGAAGCATTCCAGAGAAAGCCTGGCCTCCTTCCCGATGGCGGTGGGCGCGTCCCTGGGGCTCTGCCTGGAGTCAGTAGCTGTGTTAATTGTGCTGTAAGAGGGCTGTCTGTGAGTGAGCCTGAGTTTCCCACTGACTTGCCGTGTTAGAAGACAGCATGCATTCGCTGGAAAAAAGAATTATGCACTGATGTTAATGAATTAAAACCAATTAAGAGAAATCCTTATTAAAATAGTTTAGGTTCTACCATTTAATGTTACTAAATTGAATTGTGAGTTGCTTACGATGATAGAGACAAGCAAAAATGGACTGTCGGAAGGTTCACAAAACCCCTGATGTTGAAATCGGGTGGATCTCAGATAAGAAGAAAAATAGGGTTTAAATGTGTTTTAAAAACCTAAGCCCAACCTTATTTTTTTTCTACATTGCTTCTTTTAATAGTGCCATTGAACATTGCATAAAATGAAGGCAAATGCCTTAAGACTTTAAGAGCTCGAGAAATAATTTGTTATCCTGGGTTTTCTTTCCTTAAAAATATCTCTTTTTTTGATCTCAGAATGAATTCTATTCTCTGTCCTTTTCTTCTCCATACAATTTAGATACTCTCTGAGAGAGGAGAAAAAGGAAAGTTCTCTATGATCCTGCTAAATTTTCATATTTTTATGGTTTTTCGCTTTTTCTTTGAAAGAGGGGCGCCTGGGTGGCTCAGTTAGTTAACTGTCTGCCTTCGGCTCAGAGCATGATCCCAGGGTCCTGGGATCAAGCCCCGCATCAGGCTCCCTGCTTGGCAGGAAGCCTGCTTCTCCCTCTCCCACCCCCCCCTGCTTGTGTTCCCTCTCTCCCTGTGTCTCTCTCTGTCAAATACATAAATAAAAGATTTTTTGAAAAGAAGAGGATGAAAGAATCAGAGATGGCTTGCTGAGAGAAAACAGGTGTGATATCCTCAGCTCTGGATGCATCAGCCTCTGGTGGCTTCAGTCCACCTCTTATCGAAGGGAAAAGAGGTGCATCCGAGTTTACATTTTTTAAAATTTTCTTACAGATTTTAAGAGATGTTAATGAAACCCAAACTTACAAATATGTAATTGCAAAAAGGAGCATTTAAATCACTACTTAGAATCCAGGATAGTCCGTTTGGCTGTACTGCGTCATACCCACCCCTTCCCTTCCCATGCCTCAGTTGGGCATGGACACACTCCTGAGATCTTTAGGAGTCACTTATTTGGATCCATGTCCTTGTTTGAATAAAGCCTTTAGTGTCTGTGTAAGAGTAGTGGTTGTTTAGCTGCATCTGTTTAATTTCTGTGTCCTTTTAAATAGTTTCAGGGTCTGGGATTCTAGAAAATAAACCTGTGAAGGCATCTATAGAAGTGATCTGAAAAATCACAGCTAACGAGTTTGCCTTCTGGGCCAGTGTTGCTGACACGGCTTTACCCATAGCCTTTACTTTCTCATCCTTGGGACCATTCATCAGAACACTCTTGTGAGGTGACCAGTTGGGGTACAGAAATAGGGAGAGACTGACAGGTCAGAAACTGAACATGATTCTTGACATAATTAGCAGCAGACTGTGGTCAGCCAGTCAGGACGGAACAGAGCTGGGCACCAAGGAGCTGGTGACGAATCCTCTCTGTGGTCAAACTCTTCACTGTATAATTACACCTGAGTTGGTCCCACCACTACCAATGAGGTCAAGAAACAAGGAAAAGCTAAAGAATATGTAAACAAAAATCAAGTTTAAAGTCTGGCCCAAAGAACAACAACAAAATGACTATATAAAAAGTTCAGTCAGTTCAACAGCTGAAGTCTATCTACTGCATAAAATGCACCAGGCTTTTTTAAGGTACTGTGTACCCGGATGGTAAGACAGACCTTGCCTTTGATGTGCTAAAAATGTGGCAGCTGACACCAACACAGTAAAAAAAAAAGAGTATAAACAGGGGCGCCTGGGTGGCTCAGTTGGTTGAGCGACTGAGTCTTGGTTTCTGCTCAAGTAGTGATCTCATGGATTGTGGGATAGAGCCCCAGGTCAAGCTTTGCACTCAGTGGGGAGTCTGCTTGAAGGTTCTCTCAATCTGCCCCTCCCCCCATTCATGCTCTCTTGCTCTCTCTCAAATATATAAATAAATCTTTTCTTTAAAGAAGAGTAAAAATAGATGCTAAACTAGTAATTTGAACAATATTTTATCTAAGCATAGAGGAAGGAACCATTTATTTGCTCAAAAGGATCAAGAAAAATTTCACGAAAATAGTAATATTGAACTGGGCCTGGAAAGACAAATAGAATTTGGACAGGTGAGTCCTGGGGTTGGGGTGCATAAATTCTTGGTAGGAGGCATAAGCAAAGGCATGGGCTTTGAGAATCCACAGGACCTTTCAGTTGTACCCAGAGACGTGACTGAAGAGGTAGATGAGGCCAGA